TKRARKYMAMCYWASATATCRTTGAACCGAAATAACAAGACCTTGCCAAGCCTGACAAGGTCAGCTAGTCTTTACAAATGGCGATGCCAAGCCTGCGGAACACATACTCCGTTTGTTACGATAGGCCCCATACCACTGGAAATTGAGTCAATTACTTATAGTATGGATATACTCCAGGCCTCCGCTGGCATTTGTGACTAACCTCTCAATAATTATCCCAGGACGAATCCTGCTTAACGAAGTGAGGATGCTGATGAAACTGCCCCAGGAATTGTTACAACTGGTCCTCGAGCAGGTATGAAAATTATCCATGATTATTGACTAAACTGATATGTTGAAGCTCCCAAAGGCGGACATGTGGATGCTCTACAATGTCTTAACTGATTTGAGGAACTATGTCGCTAGGCCACTTTTCAGCCAAACGATATTGTGGTTTGAATCGTTTCTTCCATATGAAATCAACGGCAGTATGCTCCCCGCGAAATGGATATTCCAGATCCTGAAAGACCGCTCATATTGAGCTGGTACCCGACGGGCCAAACGAATCCAACTGAGGAATGACCAGGAAATCACCACTGCTGGATAACATGGAGAAACTTCTGGGCTTTGGTGCTAACGCTGGTGAATTGACCTGCTCCAAGTAGCGCCAGAGAAGGAACCAGGAGAATGTACATGACCAGTCAGGACCCTGACCTTACCCGACTGTATCTCATCATTTTAACCGGGAGTGGTTTAGATCTTGTTTGCTTCTAGCCGACACTTCCCATGCTTTGGATGATTTGCCACTGTACCCACGCGAAGCGTAGAGCACCTGCGTCTTGACCCGACTTTCCAAACACACTCACCAGGCTGGTAACAACGGGCTGATATCGGGAAGTTGAGCGACGTGAGGCATTGTGTCCTCACTCCTGTATGAGTAACGAAGGTCAGAACGGAAGGGATAAGCAACAGGCAATTGGGGTAGAACCCCTGCGCATAGAAGTACACACCGTGGGTGTGCATCCTGTATGCTGATTATTCCCTTCCCTACTCGCAATGGCAGACGCAGGCCGAATGGCTTTACGCAAAACGTGGCCATGAGGACAGGCATTAGCTATTCTCGAGATAGCCGTTATTCCCAAGAGGACGGACGTAGCTTCTAGGAGCCCTCCGTGCGCTCCTAGGAATTGCCGAACTCTTCTGAGCGTACGACTGCTCCTGTCATATCAAAGCCCGTTCACAGGAAGTTTGGTACATGCGACAATACAGACTAGTGAAGATACCGCTTATGACTAAAATACCAACCACAGATAGACAGGCAATAATTATAAATAGTGGCAAAGGACTTTTCAGTTGATATCTCTGTCCCGAACGCACCCCATGTACTACCGCCCACACAGCTTTCGGGAAGTAAACCAACATAACAACGTCGTGGCAAATCAAAGATACTCTCAAACCTCTACGACTAGTCATTTTGAATGAAGTAAGCAATTCCTGGAAGCTTTCAAATAGAGAAACTCAAGCTAACCATCAGTGTAGGTCTTCTTTCTACTCTTTCAGCCAACGTAACAAACTCAATGGCGCAGCCTGAATCTGCATTGGGTGCAACAGATTACCAGACACACGGGGAATCTAATGCACCCTTGATACGCTTTGAGATAGACGACTCAGGTTCGTCGAGACGAGCTCAGAAGAGGGTAAAAGATCGCGAGACGTCAAGGAGATTCCGTAGAAGGCAAAAACAGCTTCAAGAGGCAATGGAGACACTGGAGCAAAAGGAACGCGAAATCCAGATCCTGAGACGTGAGCGAGATTTTTACCGCTCTGAGAGAAAGTTTCTTCAAGAATGGATCACTCAGACTTTCCCATCCGCTCAACTACCCAGAAGACCAGCATCTCCGCGGCTCCGGGTCGATTTTATGTTGAACGAGGTTTAATAACGTTGGTACTGGTCAAGAGATATTATCAATGTCGGTTACGCAAAGTGGAGGCTTCTGTTTGTCCCTCCAGATGGGTTCAATCTCTCAACTACTGCGTGGATGGGTGCTACTTAACATGTATCAACCCTTGTTATAATGAGACATGTGCACAAATGATCTCCGCTATTTCATCTTCTTTCTTCTGTCTGAGTCGACATCAAATTATCGTCATTATTCTTCAAATTCTCAGACACGCCTGAAGACGTTATAGAATTGCACTGTCACTTCTAACTTCATATATCTGAGGTCCAGCTTGACAAGCTTCTCGTTTAGAACGAGCATTTCAACTTGCCCGCCTTGTTGTCGGTCCAGGCACAACCAGTTCAGTCAATCATTCCACATGATGAATGTGTGAAATAAGGGAGTTCCGCGCTCTATTACAGTATGCTATAGAGCAAGAAGGAGTCCACATAGATGAGATCCGTCGTCGACACATACAGTGTAGCTGCAGATGTGTACATGATCCCAGAACCCCACCATGATGTGCTAAATTGCTAAGAGGGAGTAAGCTGGCGAAGCGGCTTCTGTTTCATAACCAGATTGATACTGGAACCCTCAACTAGGCACGAAAACCCCGTTGATACATTTGAATGGTAGGCAGCTTCTCTTATTTACACTGACCCTCCCAAAGAGTGCAGGACAAGTGTGAAGTTTTATTTTCTATAAGGGTAGGTGCATACAGATACATATTTGTATTCATTGAAGTGGCCTTCATACTGCCTATTGAAGTATACACAGTGTTCTGCGTGTATAGTACAGAAATTGCAGCGTGGATATATCCTGCCGCTTCGCTTTTGCTCACTTCAACCCCGCAAATTCTGACGACACTGTCATACTCGTAACTTTCTCATCAAAACGCTTTTTCGTTTCTTGCTGCTTGTAGACTCTTACGCAGTCGTTTCAACCAGCTCTGTCGCACTTCTTCTTTCATTGGGCCTGCCTCGCTGTCTCGAACCTTGGAGTCGGATTGCTTATCAGATGTCCACCGCACTGGTCCAGACGCAGGTAGATTGTGAAGCTGTTGTACTTGGCGTACCCTGGCAGGTGTCGGAGGTCTTAACTGAGGTGGCGCTTTAGGTCGGATGCCGCCAACAGTAGACTGTACTTGTTGCCCAGAGCGGTCCATGATTCGTGGTTTTGACAATCGCTGGGAAGAAACACTACCCAAACGAGCTTCGGGAAGCACCGATACCGTTGTTATGGTTGTGAGTAGACTTTGTAGTATTGTATAATATCTAAGTCTTAGCAAGCTTATGGTTACTAATTTCAAAGAAGGAAGAAATCCAGTCGCATTGTAGACCATTTTATACGTCGCGCTCACCCCAACTGGCATGTCTCTTAACGTCAGCCCTTAATGTCGAGCAGCTAGCTTTTGTTGCTGCGGCCTAGAATCAGGCGCAAATTCTGCGGGGTAAGCAGATATGTCAGGGCTTCTATGGCATCATCGTACAGTTACACTCTCAGCACACCTTCAGTAAATAAAAAATGCGTGGAGTCCTCGCTAGCCGCTCTACACCGATGCTATAGGCCGCATGAGCCTTTGACCGTTTGAGAGGCGGTCCATCCTGTAATATATGGCTATGCAAAAAGCAAACCCTTTCCAACATTTTAATGTGGGTTGAGGCACGGCATAGGAAACAGACATGTTAACTGGTGCTGCACAGTTGTTGGGACCGCTTACAGCTCGTATATGGGAGCATGTAGGGTATAAGAACATCCCTCTTCACCCGAACCGCCTCGTGAACGGAAAAGATCAATCATGACCAGAAGGGCTAACCACTGGCAAACAATATGAACAGACTCATCCTAATGGTAGTCCTTTTGAGTTCCAATGTGGCCGTTCTAGCCCACCCGCAAGACAATGTCACTCAACAAGCGCGTCTCGGTCCCGGTTACGGTACTGCAGAGGCTGAGTATCAAACATCCGCTACACCCCAGCCTACACAAGGTCTAGCAACCTCTTGGGCCAGAGAGCCAATGAGCTCCAAGGGTCCTTCCAGCTTGTGGGCTGCTATTAGCGTCTACCAGTCAGTGATATGGGCATCTGGAGTCGGAACTAGGCCGCAGAAGAACATGAGTCATCCTTTTTTCCCCAACACTACTGTTGCCGCTTCCACGTCCAGTACTGCTCGCATCCCCAGTGCCAGTCCTGGGAAAGTGAACTCTGGATTGAATATAAAATCATCTCAATCTAGCTCATTGGTCCCCACGCCCACCGAGACTCAACAGATCAATTCAACTTTGTTTACTGGTGCAGGAAAACAGGACTTGGGTACAACCGCTCTTTTGGGAGTTGCCGTTCTGTTCTCTTTTGTTTGGTTCCTTTGGCAGTAAAGCTCCCGGCGGGCCTTAGACGGTTATTCAGTTGTGGGGCAGCTTGGTATTGGACATGTACGTAGAGAGTCAATGAACAGCTTCCAACTTTGCTTCCCTAAATGAAGAAGTATTCACCGAAGGCGGCGTAGCGCTAGATATACGTTGTTTTCCCTGTGCGTGTGCGATGTTGGTACTTTGTACGTACCATATTGCGCTCAAAGTATTGCATGAGTTGACTGTGACCTCAGATTGGCCTACCGACAATTTTGGTTGCATATGCTGTTGACCAGCGCAGGCCATTAGACTTTGCTCTACGTCGGATATAGGAGTAGATGGAAAATTGGGAGAAATGGCAAGGAGAAGTAGGTGATGCTACAGAAATCGACTACCGATGGCGGACGGTTTGTTGACACTGCCTCGCTCCTAGAGCTATTTGCCCAAATATGTGATTCTCAATGGCCGGTGGTTCTAAAATGGACCGTACCGGAATAGTTATTTATCAATTCCCTTGTCCTGTCAATTGCGAGCTTCCTACCAGTGTGTTTCGTGTCTTGCCCTTGACTATAAGTGAAAAGCTGCGTGAATCAGATGCAGCAGCAACATATTTCGATAGCCCAGAGCAAACTAGAGCCAACCGAAAAGGCCACTGCTAGCCAAGTGGCAGCCAGAGTATGAGAACCCACACTGACACTGACTCCCACGTTTTGAAGAAATTGATCAATTCCACGGGCAAGCAACTGATATATCACCGTCACGGTTACAGATGCTCCTAGTAATAGGAGAGACGAAGCCTAGACGCAGTTAGCATGGTTCCTGAAATGTTTACGGGCGCCACCTGCCGTCGAGGACATGAGGATGACGATTCTTGCCATTGGGAAGCGTATCAACGCTATGACCATCGTAGAAAATGTGGCAATGAATCCGGCAAGGTACGCAAACACGACCCAATGCGAAACTTTATGGTACCCTCTTAGGATGGGCTGGGCCAACTCGGAGAGCATTCCATCAGCCTGTCCCAACTGGGCACGAAGGATTTGTCCCAGGTCAAATGAGAAGGAGGCGCTCGGTTTGGAGCACTTCGAGAAGGATTTGCSGTTTTGCTCTCCCTCACAGTARCTCCAGAGACCAACCGCGTARTAATCSGGGAGGAGTGACTTCAGGTGTTYAGTCAGGTCATTGGCATGGTCACCCACGCGGTCCATCGCGTCTTCGGCGGAACTCGAAACAATGTTGCCGAGACTGCCTGTTTCAAAAGAYCCAGGTARATCTGTGCTGGGGATGTTGAGTGAYCGAACTAGACTTGGATGTTTCCCAGTAGGGAACCCGCTCAAATCCACCTTCCGCAAACTGATCGTAAGCCATACATGCAACACCAGATGGAGTGTACTGTAAGGTCTACCTTTAAAAAGAATAACTCTTGCGGAGAAGACGGCGATGTGCAGCCGCAAAAGACGACGACAAGACAGACTAGTGCCGCAGTGGAAAGAATCAAGGGGCCAATCTTCAGAAACGAGAGCATCGTGGATGGAGGATACGAAAATACTCTTGCGTAAAGGAAACAGACTACTCTACACGTGGGATCTGTAAGACTGATATAGTGCTGATGTACTGGTACGGTGAGGGTGTCCGGCCTACATATTCCGAACGTGTACTAAGTGACCATTTTGATGGCTGGGCATATCGCTAATATTGATTGTTGAAGAGTTTAAACAATAAGTCTGCCAGGATAGGTCAACCTGTTCAGTACTATGGACGTATCATGGTCGGGTTGTATTTTAAGCAATAAGATGGGACACTCGTACTAGGGGTCGCTTAATGCGGGCGCATTGGGAGGAGTAGACCATAGTAAACCGCCGTGGGATTTCTACACTTCCTCTCCTTACCTACAAATTCATTTTTAGGCCTCTACCGAACCACTTTCCCCCAAAAATCAACCAACGTTTTAGCTCCGAGATGTCCTGCTCCCTTCCAAAATCAGAATCCCATCCTAGTTTCACTGACTGCAGTTAAAGGTCATTCTTTAGACTGGTCAAGTGTAGCTTGCTATGCGCACCTCAATATTCAAGGGGATTTAAAAGTCTAGCTGGAAATTTTTGGAAAAGCAACTTCTTCCGTTGTGGTGTCCCTGTTGCTTGGACCGCGATCAATTGAAAAGTAACTAGCTTCCTTCAGGAGACTCGCTCAATCAAGTTCATTGGGCAAGTGCCATTGTTTCAATATTCCACTGTGGTAGCTAGGCGCTTCAAGCCTTTCATACTCGCTATCCTCTGCTTACCGAATCGTTATATGAAGGCTTGCCCAACAGATAATACAAGGATACCTCGGTACATGCTTCCAACGTGTTGGGTGAGACTGTATCACTGGAGGCAAAAAAGCTGATGGACCGCGAATAGAGCTGTCAATAACCAAAGATTACCGTGACCAACGACAGCAGGAGGCTCCTGCAAAACGATTCTTTTCACCTGTTCTGTCAACCCCATTTTCATCATCTGTGCAGCTCCAGCGCAGGACCAGTGAGACAGCTTCAGCTTCATTGATATCTATGGGCCAAGCAGAGAACAGTCAATACTCGATGTGAGTTGCCGCGACTATTGGGTCGATCACCCATAGCATGGAGAAATCGGCATCACAAGCTTCCAAGCAGGCAGAAGGAGATGGTGATTCACATAAAGCGACCGGCCCTCCACCAGTCTTCCGCTCCGATCTCTTGAGCTGTGAATCACTTTCGTGTGGGAGATCCAGTACGATCACTATCAGTCCAAGCTTCGCTGGTGGTCGCGCGTCGACTCTAGCAAAATGCCAATGCCGTAGCATCTTCGCTACGAAATCCCACGCAGGAGGTCACAAGTCCCTTTCAATCCTATCAAGTCCTACAGGGCCAGCCTGCGGCCTTTCAAGTTTTGACTTGAGCTGTACAGGTTCACGGGAGGGGATTGCTGTCTCAGCCTCAAATGTCGCGCCTTCAACAATCTCGAATTCCCCCACCGACATGAGGATGAAACCTCTAGACCAACGCCCCACGAACAACTCCACACCTGTAGCAGAGACATTACCAGCACCTGGACAGAATGTTGTCAGTCTTTTGTCTGAAGGCAGAAGTAAACTTGGGCAGGAACATCTAGACTCGACACCTGTACAGCCAGATGCCCTTCGCGGACAAAGTCCTTCCCAGGCTTTCAACGCACAGAGAACGGACTTACCATTATGGGAATACTCGACAATCGCAGCGTTGAGCCTGCCTGAGGCGGCAGTAACGTCTCCATCAAGCCAGCCAAATTTAATACTCATGACTCGGGCATCTACCGAGCCGCTTAGCGATTTAGTATCATCGATCAAAGTGCATCTATACCATACCGGCGAACAGTTAGCGGATATGGCCCAAAAGCAAGGAAATTCTGCCAGCCGCACAACGACCAACTACTCCGATGGCATAGAAGGGGATTCGCTTACCCGCCTCGGTAGCAACGTAGCCTCATCCATCTCTCGAGCCAGCCTTGAACCACAGGGGTCTGTCAGCTCTCAGATCATTTCGCCTTTTCCAGCCAAACCTAATGAAAGTCCCCCAGCTACAGTTACGATCTGTGGTGTGACAACGTCTGCAAGCCCTTCACTGACGTCGACAATAATCATAGACGGTTCGAGTGGAATCCCGGCATCTGTGGAATCCTTTAGAGCAACGTCGAGCCACAGCGATCCAGTATTTGATCATCTCCAAAGAGAATACACTATACCGAAGCAAAGCTTGGGCATGTCGGTAGGGGCTGCCGCCGGTGGAGCTGTGATATTTGTATTAATATTTCTAGTGCACCGATCTGTTTACCGGTGGTCTCGCAAACGTCTTACAAAAGTGACCTGCATTGGCCACGAGCCCATCATGAAGGGAGACCAAATCAAAGAGCTTCGTCCACGACGGACCCCAAATCCGGAGGTATCCCATTTCTCCGATGATTCGTAGATCTGGTCATATCAAGTTATTGGGCAAGAACCACCGATGCGCCGGTATCTACTGGAGGGGCATAGAATATATCTCTTGCTCCAAGCTCAGGGCCATTTGCAATATTTCCTCCCGAAGGGCTTGGCATTCTTCCCTCATAATCGGTTTATACAGCGTCTGTTTGGAAATCGCCTCAAAAAGCATACGTTACATGATTTGTCCTGTACATCGATATCAGAGCAAAGTCAAGTACTATGCTGAATAGAGAAGAATCTACAAAATGCATTTGTCTTTCATATTTCACTATCATACTCAGCTCCATCTATGTGGATTTGGCAACTTTGTAGGAACATATTCTCTTTCGGTCAGGCCACCGATAATTGTCAAGGCTGCGTCACTAATGTCCCAATTGCCTGCGGTCGCCCACAATGGCCTTACTGTTCGAATTGACTCTACATTCTCCGAGACGCTTTCTTGTGACACTTTGGGCATCGCGCTCTTGCATGATGTTTCCCCTTGGGTAATCCTGATCAAGGGGCAAGGAAGAGGAGGGTCTGCATCGTCGTGGACGACTAATAAATCCCGGTGGCAGCGCGGTTCAGAATCGTGGAGCATCCTGTTTTGTAGAAGGCGATGGATCATAAAGCGGATCGGAAGGGAGCAACGTACAATGGTAGTGAAATGGACGGTAAATTATGTTGAGTGTTTGCTAGACTCTGATATGTACTGGCAATGATGGGTGCTCGGGCTTATTGATGCCATATGCAATCTCTTATTACTGAAGGGATAACCGTGCTTTCTTGGGAGCAGCCGGGTAGGGTCTCTGGAACCGACTCTTTCCAGGAGAAACGGCCGTGTTCTCAAGAGAGTTCCTTTCCTTCCTGGGAGTGGGCCAGTCGCTCCCAAGAACTCCGGACCTCCTACAAACCAGGCATGTAATCGTAGGAATCCGGCATCATCTCACAGGAAGCCCAGCATGCTGGAGGAATCATGGATTTTTACGGCATTTGCATACATACTCCAGCAGCACAGTGTTTCAGATAATGAGAGTCGTCAGTGACTGATAAGTATAAAGAGCTATCGGTGCTGATGGCCGCACACACAAAGGATATGCTTGGCTACGCAGGTCTTCAGCTTACAGAGATGTCTCTCGCAGAATCAAAGGTATATACTCCGTCCAGTATACACGACATTTCCGTGGTCTTCTTGTCCTCTGGGCTAACTGTTTAGATGAACCTTCTGGCTCTTCCGAGCGAGTTGCTCTTGTGCATCGCTGCGAGCCTACCCAGAGCGAAGGATATTCTGTCTTTCGCCCAGGTCAGCCGGAAGAGATCTGACCTGTTACTTTCATCTCTTTACAAATTCAATATCCAGCATCAAAACAGCTCGGCATTGCATTGGGCCGCACAGAAGGGAGATTTACATGTGGCAGAGGTTATGCTGCACCAGTACCAGCCTGATGTCAACGCCATCCATGACGCGAAAACGCCGCTTGTGTATGCAGCAACCCACGGATCAGAGTCGATTGTCAAGGCCCTTCTCKCCAACCCTCAGATTTCAGTCAACTTCCAAAACGAACAGGGTCAGTGCGCCTTATGGTGCGCAGCAATGCACGGATTCACAGAAATTGTTGAGGGCCTATTGCAGCGTCCCGATATCCAAGTGGACCTCCAGGAGACAAAATATGGCCGCACCCCACTGGCTGCAGCAGTGGCCAAGGGGCATGCACCTATCGTTAAGCAGATTATTGACACAGGCCGAGCAAATATCAACGCGCCTGACCGATGGGGCCTCACACCGGTTTTTCACGCCATCGATCGCCAAGATTCAGCGATTCTCGAAATCTTGCTTGCGAATGACATGCTTGACCTGTCCTGGCAGGATGGTTTTGGCCACACAGCTCTCATCTACAGCGTGTCAACGGGCCAAACAGCCCTGACGAAGATGCTCTTGGGCCACCCAAAGCCGTACGTGGACAATCGAGATCGACATGGCCGGACGGCGCTGTTCCACGCAGTGCACCAAGGCAACGGAGACCTCGTGCAACTGCTCCTCGACAGCGGCTCGAATATCGGCGCCACAGACGTAGACGGCCTGAGCCCGCTCCACTTAGCAATTAGGCAGGAAAACTTGCCCATGGTGCAGAAGTTATTGACTCATTCACGTCGTGATCCTTCGACGCTATGGCCTGGAGCGACCCATGGCATCCACACCGAACCACCGCCATTATGCCTGGCCACCAGTCAGGCGAGTGAGGATATCGTGCGGCTGTTGCTCGATCACGGCTGGAACGTGAACGAAGTGGACGCAGAAGGCCAAACACCATTGCATTTGGCTGCCGAAATTGGAGATCAAACAGTCGTCCGGGTCTTTTTGGATCACACGCAGGTCGATTTGCATGCGCAGGACCGGTGGGGATCGACAGCATTGCACAATGCCGCCAATCGAGGGCACTTGGCTGTAGTCGATCTGCTTCTGGCTGAGCCGAGCATTGACATCAACGCCAAGGATAGGAACGGAGCGACCGCGCTCTGGTGGGCCACACGACGCAACAACACACGTGTGGCCGCACGGCTGCTGGCCGAACCGAACGTAGACATCAACGCCGTTGGCCTGTTCGAGCGACCCCTCCCGGATCGATCGACTTCCCTCCATCATGCTGTCCGGGGACGAGCAAACTTGATCATCCGCCTGCTTTTAAGGGAGAAGAGCCTCGATCCCAATGTCGTCGACCATCAGGGCTGGACTCCGCTCGCCTGTGCAGCCCGCCAGGGCGACGTCAAGACGGTGGAATGGCTGCTCGCGCGACCAGATATTCAAGTGAATGCAAGCAAACAAAACGAACAATCACCGCTGTGGTTAGCTGCAAGGCACGGCCATATCCGAGTGGTTCAACGGCTCCTAAAGTTCCGAAATATTGACATTAACCAAGGATGGGGAGGATACCTGTCACCACTGTCGGCTGCCATCGTTGCAGGCCACACGGATGTGGTCATGCAGCTGCTCGCCTGCGGGGACCGACTGGACATTAACGCGCAAACCTACCAAAAGGAATCCGCGCTGTCTCTAGCCGCCCACTACGGGCAGCTGCAGGTGGTCGACACCGTGCTGCAAGACGGTCGGACGGACCGAAATAGCGTTGACGATCAAGGGCGCACCGCTCTGTGGTGGGCGGCCTACGAAGGGCATACGACCGTTGTGAGGCGGTTACTCGAGGATACCGATGTCCAAGTTGACATCAAGGATCACCAGGGAGCGGATGCTCTAGAGGCCGCGCGGAGTAAACATCATTTTGGTGTCATAGGTCTCCTGGGGGCTTACCGAGTGGGTCATCGCCGCGACAACATTAACCCAACCTGACTTGTCCAGCCGGTGATTCTCGTACGACTCAGCTCTCTCAAGTCACTTTGGATGGGACCAGTGACTTCATCGAGACTACTCTCGAAGGCGGAGGATATAAGATGGAGTCAGCCCCAGCAGAGATAGTTGTGCATTGGCCACCAAGGGTCGGGAAGGAAAGCAGCATAACGTCGAAGAGGTTATATTTCAAAGCAGGCAATGCGAACAGTATGCTATTCAATAGAGAAATGACGCGCTCACGTGGCATGAAAAGCCGCCATGATACTTATTAGGTGCCTCGATCAGAACAAGGTTTCCTCTAGCTCACACAACAAAGAGAACTGTAACAACGTAGTCTTGGTTCACCGTCTCTGTTTTTGGCGATTAGATGATCGTGTCCCCCGGTCCCGACCGTGGAAGTCACGGCCTGCAATTGCATGTGGCGATATGTCAAGGGGGGCCGAATCCTCTTTCTAATTTTCTGTCTGATGGCATGTAGAGTTGGTGTCACTTTGAGAGAACGGATACAACACGGATCACGGTGGTGGTCTGAGGGTCATGGAGAATGAGCATCAAGAATTTGAATACATGGGGTACTCTTCGAAGCAAAGACAACCGTCCTCCTTGATTCGGATACAGTATTTATCGTTTAGCTGGCTAAGAAGGGTCGCGCCGCACCGCAGGCAGAAGCGCCAAAAGTTGGTCGAGTGTCGCAGACGGTGCTAACGAAATTTCGGCTTGCCGTGTGGTGGACACCATGATATCAGGGGTGTGAGAAGCACTCACGACGGGATGGCTGAAACAAATAAGACAGGATAGAGACGCGGTGAACGGTTAGCTGTACACCAAGCGTACGAGGGGGGAGGGATATGTAAACATACAAAAACTGCAGCAGCACCTTGTAAGCGGAAGAACTGACACGGCACCAGCCGAGCTTACCGGATCCGATCGACTCAGATTGGTCTTGTCCGTGCGGGGCCCGAACATGAGGACTGCCGAAATATCAGGAGAATTCGAAAACGCCGAGTTTCGCCAAATTAAAGCCTGATCAATTCGTGTGGACAGATGTCGTTGAGGAAAGGGTGACGGCCCGTCCGCTTGTACCGTCGTCCGCGGTGAATTTCCGCATTCGCGCTCCCTATATTGCTGATGAGCGGTCGATGCTGTACACGCAACGGTTAAGCGTAATAATGCATATCGGGTCCTCGACTGTCACATTTCTGGTGCGCTTGCTGACTTCTGCAGTGCGGGGACTGAAGTGCCCCGGAGAAACTGATCGCAATTTCGAGGTTGTTCAAGGCCCACCCACGCTATCAAGGAAAAGAATGAGTCGAGGCGAAAGAGATGCACAGAGCACAACATAAACTAGAGCCGAGGGCCAGAGGCTATGTACGTAGCATGGATTGGAATACGCAAATCATCTAGACTTAATAAGGTTATACCAAGTCGGCTGGCGCCAGCGATTTCGAGTGGCAGGGCTTAACGTGCTCGCATGGTTTTCGAAAGTCTCTAGTCATCTCCAGAGTTGCACCCAAACTGCTTCTCGATTCTTGACAGGCTCGGGTCAGAGGTCCCTTTTATAGACAATTCAGTATATGTCCATACTAAGTCGAGATTTACCAGAGTATTTGAGTTATATTCCTTATATTGAAGTACTCGAGGCAGTGATGTCAAGTTGCGGGTGGGGTGAAGAAGATTGAAGAAAGGAGATGTGGGGATGGGCAATTTCATTTGCCCGTATTATAACCTGATCCGATGAGCCCAGTAGCACAACAACCCCCTGTGTTACCTAGGTGATGCCCAGCCTAGGTCTTCGAGTGAATGGCGTTGGTGAACAAGCCCTGAGGAATACATGATGACAGGCAAACCTTGTGTCGTTAGCATTTGCGGCCCGTCGTTGATCGCGAGATATAAATTTATCGATCACCTCAACTGGAGAAAATCGGATGAATTGAATGGAAATGCGACCAGAAAATGAGGGTATCCTGCCATCGAAAACAAATGCCAGGACCGTCAAGAAATACCCGCCAGACTACCCGCCTGACGTAACCACCGTTACTCGTAGTGAAAATGACGAGAAATAACCTGGGAGTGCACAGTACTCGGACCGGCAGTGTAAACTTCTCCATCTCCTTCGCTGGAGGATTCTTGGTCCATTCACCAGTTGAACAGTAACGGTCGAGTCTCTCTGTTCTATCAAAGCGCCGATTGCCCGGCCACCCAGATACAGCGTGGTTTTCTTTGACCAGGTCAAAATCAACCCATTGTAGGGAGTGTAAATATGGGTTTGCCAAAAAGTTAAGGTAGCAGAGCTCGGGTGGCCGAGTTGCTTATAACCATCAAGATGCCCAACAGTCGGTGAAGCGGTCATTTAGCAAAGTTTGACTTGGTGAAGGTCATCACAAACATCCCCCAAACTGGTTAGGGTTTAGGATAAGAAACACCAATCAGATTCAATATACATCATGTCTCAGATGCTGGAAAGGCGCAACACCTGCAGGTAAAGTACAAGCTCCGGCCCTTTGATGCCGTACCAGCCAATGAGATCGATGACCTCCAAATGACCTTGTGTTTCTGATGCATTGAACGGGGCGTTGAACATTAAGGCCCATATTCAGGGTCTTTTTGAGTGAGATGGAACTTTAAAGAGTATTAAACCTGGGCGCCATTTTTGCAAACAACAGTACTTTGATCTATCGCTGTGCTGGGGTTTCCTGCACAGGATAGCCGAATCTTAAGCAGAGAATATTTGTGCAACCCTCAGAGAGTGGGATTTCACAGCACGGATCAGCATCTCGCCCAATCCCTGCCATAAGGTCCAGCCCGTGATACTCGACATAACCCATGGGCGGTTCTTCCATACAGAAACCCGCCCCAAACCCGCGTTTGAGACTCGTCCTGTACAAACAGTTAGATGCTACGCACAGAAAACACAAGCGATACTGATATCATTCTCTGGCCTTACTCTACTGAAATCATTGTATAACATCCCGCGGACCAAAATCGACGTTTTGCTAATAGGAAGGACTGCCTGTAAAAGAGTATCGTGTGCGCAAGGATAAACGAGCCGCCATTGTCTTTGCCCTGGCTACCAATCGTGCGTCATGTACAACCAGAAAAGGTGCCCGCTACAAAAGACGGCGACCCGCTTCACGTTTGAGGAATGGTTGGTTGTGAAGCTGGTCAGTGCCTCCTTTGAATGGAATGAAGTATGTTGCTGGGCCAACAAAAATCTTTGTAGTGCTCTTGGCCAGGGGTTTTGGGTTGGTCAAGTCTGGTGGTCGGTGAAAACCCACGCAAAGGGGCTGCGCATATTGTCTCGCAAATTGACCAGTTGGGCAGCCAGTGGGAAATCTGTGTCTTCAAATAAAAGCCTATACCTCATCATCATAAAGCCCTCAAAAGAACTAATATCGGTATTTCGGTTTGATAATCCGCCCATTTCCGACCCAAAGGGGCTGCGAAACTCCCATATCTTCGTTTTGCTCAGGGTTTCGCTAGGCTACCTCATCGTGGCGAGTCTATCCGCATGACAGGATGAGCAATCTGCGAGAGACGATTGTGCATTACCCGTCACCAAATTTGGAATTGCCCATTGGAAAGCCTCATTGGACAAAGTCCAACTTTCAGTGCAGCAAATATCATGTCACTGAACAATGATGACCTTGTGGAAGCGTTATTACATGGCATGCGTGGAAGGAAGACACCCAGATCTTCCCCAGTCAGCAGGTAGAACGACCAGGGAGCATCTCGTTTAGGTTACCCCGCTCCCCAAACCCCCAGACTCTGCGTTACCACACAAATGACCTAGCCCACATTTAACACCTTCTCGTATAAATCTATCCAGAGACCCTCACTCGTACGGGGCGGTTTATCGAAGATGGGATGATGTACGAAAAGGCGAGAGACTACATTGAGCATTTTAGGAGAATCACAAAAATGAGTCTGCACTGAAAGTTGGCGATCAAAAGCGGATTTGAAGAAGACCCACAGTTCCACAGGTCTTTGCAGGAGTATCGATCGTCTGAACTGCTCCGAATTTGACCAAGTGCTGATTCGAGGGGCATGCTTGCGGAACCTAGGGTCACCCGGGAACAACCGTTCCTTGGACTAAGAGGTAAAATCAGAGAGCCTTTGTTAATCTATGTAGTCGTACTATGATGTTGCGAAAGGGATATCCGCCAGATTGTATTTAATGTAAAAAAGGGGAACCGAAAGGTAGAACCACTGGTGAAGCCGAAGCCTAATCAAAGCAATTTCAAAGTGAGGAAAATGGCAAGGCTCTCGAATTACTGTAGGATTTGCCCATCGCGATGTACCATCATACCTCTGCGTGAGTGATCGTATCAGCTCCCTCCTTTAAGAGTAGAAGTATGGCTTTCAGCGACCGCGACCCACTATATATTTCTGAGTGCGTGGATGCCCTTCCAATCAAAAATATGACCAAATAAAATGGCTAGATAATTCCGTTGCAGTTCAATCTCAAGCATACATTACCATTACCTGCGCTGCAGACACGGTCTGATATTCAAACGGGTGATGACTAGGTCACAACATGTAAAAGATTTCGAGAAGGAACCTGCACCGGGTGGTCCTTGCGAGACCTCAAGTGTACAGTCATTCCTGATTACAATCATGAACTGGCCTACCATCCTCGCGATTGGCTTGGTAATCTTGGTGTGTGACCAGGAGACGAATGGCGTTGCCAACTCCACTGCGGACATTGCTGAGTTCCTCCTTAAGTTCACGTATCAAGCTTTGCTCCCTCATGATGTCCCTTTCCAACTGCCAGGTTCTCATTTCCCAGTCTCGCGACACCTGGGAGATCTTTTCTATATGATCACGGAGGTGGCCGATTTCCCCCTGCAGCTGTTGGTTTTCTCGCCTTAAACGCTCAATTGTCGCAGTGAATGAATCCTCTTCGCCAGAAACAGATGACAACTGAGTCGGCATCCTTGTATTAGCCCTTCCATAATTCATAATTTGCTAGCGAAAGCCTACATGAGAGTCACGTGCTCCGTCTGCCACTCGAGATGGGCGCACGGCCTCGATTGACCGCCCGATCTCCCTGCATATTGCGTCGTAAAGGCCTACGGTCCCATTGCTGAGGCTAGTCTTCATCAAATGTGCCTTGGAGTCTGCGACAGACCAAGTATACCCATCTTCTGGAGCCGGCTGCAAGCGAACCGCCTGGGGTGCAATGCTTAGGCCTAGTCGGTCATCTTGGTAGGTCAGCTAATTTCCACTTCCTTCACCAATATACGGGGGGAGCGGTACAGATATGGTTTGCCAAAGCTTCTCGGCATTGTTGGCGCCGCTGAGCGCGTTTCTCATTGCTAGACCGGGCCATCACTTAAGAATAGGAGAGACTGTTTCCGGAGCCTAAGTTGAAATATGGGTTTAAGGCTAGCCAGCTATTGATCGCCTTTGGGTGACATCCGTCTTAAATGATATGCTGACTTAGTTGGGAACGAAGCAAGTGGATCCAAGGAGAGGTGAAAGAAGAAGATTAAAAGGGCAAAGTATTGCGGTTTGCATCGGTAGGATTATGTAGGACTTTTGCATTTGAGTACAATGAGCTGGTCTTTATTAGAAGAATGGTACATGCGCGCTTTGAATGGACCTTAAGGCGAATGTTGTGAGATGATCCTCAGTCTAAAGTATGCAGCGGCACTCAGGCTGCGGGATTTTTGCTTGATCGGTAGCCAGTAGCAGGAATTGCACGGTTTGTCCGTTCTGATTTGGGTTCCTGGACGAACAGACATACCGTTTAACCTATGGATCTTCATAACCTGGAGTAGACCTGGTTTTTCTATGGTCGAGTAAATTCGCAATTGTGGTCACTTGGAATTGTCAATACTCAACTTGAGTGTTTAGACTCGCCGCTCAAAGGACTAATCTAAAGGATTAAAGATGCTACGATCAGGTAAAAATGAAGCTTAAATTCCGGGGGAGGAAAGTGCTGCAAACAGGAGCGCTAAGCGCTGATGAAAGAAGGCCGGGTCCCGAGACTTGTTTTGTGGTAAACTGTCATAGCCAATGCTGCTGGCGATTGTTGGCCTCACTAAGCAAACTTTTCATAATTGAAGCAGTTTCTCTTGGATCTCACTTCCAGCGGCCATGTGAAAGCATCCGATGGTCAGTGTAGACTATCATCGACTGAATATTGTTGGGCTGAATACTCAAGAGTCAGGTCGGATGTAAAGCACGCACCTTATTAACAAGCTGGTTATGGTCTAGAAAATAATCGGGATCCTTTGGCTCGTGGTAGCCTCGACCAAAAGACCTTGTACGACTATAATACGATTAGGTTAAAAACTGCCCGACCGACATCCTCGTCAGTCTAGGGTTTCACGTCATAATTAAAGTCGTATCGTACTTTAACATTCCAGTAACTGTATTTAGCGGACACCTCCATTCCATCTGATCATCTGTCCACCAGGCAGAGAGGCCTACTATGGTGCTTCTCGGATGAGACCCTTACAGAGCTGTTGGAAGAGCCCTGTGGTGGGCGAGTTCTTGTGGTGGGCAATATTCCCCAAAGAGAGCTGGTATATGGTCTATCGTGGTCGTGCCGCTACTAACACCAGTTGATTTGTGTGGTGCAGATCGAAATTACCTAATATTTCTTGTTATATTTATTATAAAATGACATACTATGCTCCCATATATATTGTGATTTGACAACAGAAATGACATTGGTTCTCTGTCTCCCTATCCCGGATGATCTGCTGCCACGTACCGTGCATTTTCGCCATTCAGAGAAAATGAACCCTCATCCACCTTCCCAGACAGCCCTCGCCGCAAGCTCAGTTCCAGGGACCGAAACTACTACTGGCCATAGTCGTTATATCCAGATGCTCTTGCAAGTCCAAGATATGCCCTGGGTTTATAACGTCATTGCGAGCGTTGCACACTGGGTCCTTCTTGCAGGATATCTTGTGGTTCCTGGAACGTTTACGTCGCTGCAAAGGTCCGATAAGATCGAACAGGCATTGGCAGATAACGGTGCTGGAAAAGCAATTCTGGGTACAATCCAAAACCCACCACTTTTGGTTATTGCGTGTGTGCTCTCCGCCATGGGCGCTGCGTTGCTTGCCTGGCTTTCCTGGGAATGGCGAGAAAACTACATCTGGCTGGTCAGCCGAATATTCACGTTCGAAAACCAGTCCTTAATGCATTGCGCTGAAGATGCTTATTATGACTTAGACCAGTCGCGATGAATGCAGCTGCCGGATTGGCCACAACATTGATCAACATCTACACTGCGCGGTCGGGTGATTGGTCTGTTATGGCAATAGTCACCACAGTCATGACGGGAAGCACCCTGCTGGTTTCCTCCCTGTTAGCTGTTGTGTTTAAATTCTTCATGCTGAAGAAGATCGAAGAAGAACACGAACTCGAAGAAGAACACGAGCGTACAAGAGCTCTGACGTCGACAAGTGATCATCCATAAGGACAGGTAGAAATGGTGTTGCACCGATTTGTTTTCCAGCTCACCGCTGGCATAATATCCTACTCAAATTGAGCTTCCAGATGGTCTTCGCATTGGTGAATACGATAGAAATCACGTCCACAGGGACACAAATCACGTTCATCTTACTTCTTCTTTACAGCAAATCCTACCTTGCACGCGCTCCAGCATGCCTGTGAAACTTACCTTCTTACTGTAACCAGGCTTGTTTTTCATGTGCAGTAATTGGTGGTGTATAGATAGGCAGGAAGGCCATGATATTATATATAGTACTATCCTATTGTCTCCCGATCCAATCTCCGATGATGCTGGAGGCGCACTAATTCCCGAGCCCCGTACTTTGAATGCCAAAGCTTCCAGTATAGACCACGAAAAGGAATTAACACGGCATCCGTCTGCGAAGTGTCCTCTCGGGTCGTAATTTTACTCGTAGCAGCTCCCTGAAAAAATGCAGCTGTCTCAATGATCTACCCACAATAATCACTCTACTATGAGGGAAAAGAGAATGGCGTCTCAAATGTTGGATGGTCAGGCCAAAACTGACCCGGCCGATATCTTTCCAGATGAACTCGCTAAGTACTTAGTCCAGCATACTGATGAGCCGGCAGAGTCGAGCACGTCTGAGTGATTTGAGAGTCGTCGGTGATACTACGCAGCGAAGGGTCATACATCCGGCGAGTAGTTTACTTAAGGGATCATTTTGGCTCTAGGATTAGCCGATTAGCCGATTAGCCCCACTAGTGTTTTCAATAATGCGATTGGAAGAGCATTACTGTCATCAACACTATTCCAGTCCCCACCGTCCGGCAGCATGCATGAGGCATCCAATCGTCGTATCCCACTTCCAGCCACAGGGAACCTACTTAACTGAGTCGTCAGCTATGCTTATCCCTGTATGGAAAGCGGCATACCGACACATCCTTCCAAATCTAGGGCATTGCTGCTGAGCAACATAGGTGAAGAACACTCCACCGCAGCGGATGGCCCAACACCAACCACTTGCGCAAAGTCCCGGGGACATCGGTTCGGCACAGCGGTCATCCGGTCCACTGCAGCAGGATTCTATTCGGCCTTGGGCGTACACCGCACATAGCGGGAGCTCTCCGTCTCCGCGGGTCGCCCGACGTTCCGGTCGAACCACCCGGCGTCCTGACTTTTTCACTCCTAACGAGATTTGACCATTGATACTGTGACTGGTATCCAGTATCTATCTAGGCCCGCCTTCAATTTCAGCGGCAACGTTATCGGTCATAATCCTTTTATTCATGTGTCAAAGCAGGCAGCACCTGGTGCACGCGAGAAGTGCTATTACATAACAATGGAGGGATATTTACCATGATTTCAACATTTCTGGCAACTGAGTAGGCAGTTCAGATCATCCAGCTTAGGGAGAGCGAACTGTCTAGGGTCTACGTCAAAGATAACGTCCATCCATTAGCAGACTTTTAAAGAAGTTGATGTTTATCGAGCTACTAGTCAAACGAGTGGTGTCTTATAATCCAGACTTTGTTTCCCTAGGTAGGGTTTGCCTATCGCTCTTATGCGCGCTATAGCGCTCCAAAACCGGCACCCCTTCAACGACCGTCTGCAGCTGGTTCCATGTTACGAATAACGCCGTCCAGGGCCGGTCGGCAAACCATCGAACGTATGCCGGCAAAACTTCCCGAGCTAAAAAGCAAGAAATATGCCACTGACTTCTTTAGTTGACATCCGCTCTTCAGTAGTCCTTGCCCTATGCCGTTGCTATGTTGGCATGACCAGTTTACGAATTGTCGGAAGGCGGGTCAACCCCGGATGTCAGGGTCTGTTGTGGACGAAGACCTATAGTCTGATCTCTTCGCGGAATTGGCCCATGGCAACCGAGAGTGGTAAGCAAATCCCCGCTTCGGACATTCGACTGGCTGGGCCTGTGAGGCTGACGAGAGTTTTTTCTTCTTCAGGACGCTTCCCAGTAACTGTTCGCTGGCATTATATCGGTGTGCTCTGATCGACGAGGTGGACTCCTATCCAGCTGTAGAGGTCTGCATTGTGAGTAGCCAATCTGGCTAGCTTGACGGGGACTCTGCTGCCAAATCAGGTAGGCTCAACGTTGCCATTGTCGAGTAATCCCGTAGTGGTGTGTCCGCTCCCTGTGTGGTGAGAGTTTGAGAAGAATTTCCCGTGCGAAGGGCATCCGAGACTGTTGGTGGCTTCTGAAAGATTGACAACGTTGTACCCAGGGTCGGTATTGCTAGAGCGTGAGCAGCGACAAGCCTCTCCTTCTGATATACATGGCCAAACACCGACTGGACACTATAGCCCTGGTTGCAACCTAATATTGCACAAAATCCAAAGACGGTCTGATCTAGAAAGGGTAATAACCAGGTCACCACTTGTAGAGAGTCCGAGGAGGAGATTTGCCCAGATGAGGGCCTAATGGTAGGCTACGTTTATTTCCACCCACAGGACAGCCATTACCAGCAGATCCAACTTGGTCTGTTATGGAAATAGTCATCATAGTCATGACGGGAAGCACACTACTGGTTTCCTCCTTGTTAGCTGTTGTGTTTAAATTCTTCATGCTGAAAAAGATCAAGGAAGACTATGAACTCGAAATGCGTACAAGAGCTCTGACGTCGACAAGTGATCGTTGAAGACGGCCAGAGATGGCCTTGGACGTATTTACGTTTCAGCTCACTGCTGGCACAATATCCTACCCGAACTGAGCCTCGATACGCAAGCATTTCTTTGGGAAACCGGTCTATGAGCCGTCGTCATATGGTTTATATTGCTAAACTATTTAGTCGTTGGCTGCCTCTCACGGCGCATTTGTTCTCTCCCATCTCTGTTAGGCTGAAAAGATATTCCCATGCCTTAGTCTGGCGTCCACGGATGTTAAAGGTGGGTGGTGGCCGGATCACCACTTTGATCGCCGGGTATGGGACGAAATCAGCAGGGGTTTTATGTACAATCGGCTGTGGCCATTCGCACTGAGTCTGTCAGAGGTCAGGCTAGGATTCTTATAGAGCCATAACTTACCATTTCCTCCGCAGTCGGTGCAGGAACGCCAGGATGCGATTGGTAGGTGTAGAGTCGGCGGTTCGGCATCTCCAGTATAAGCCAACTACGAATGGAATACAGCCGCCAGAAATCATTGACCCGACGTATAAGATTATTGCGGCGTTTTCGAAGCTGTTCCTGCTTAACACGGCTCTGTGAGGGGGCCATCAACCGTAATACAGGTTTTGATGGCCAGCTGACAGCAACGACACTTAATAAAGAGATTTGATAGTTACCGGTCTCACGGCGTAGAGCATATTGCCTCAGGATAAATTGGCGCACTACGACTTAATATCCAAGTTACAGGGGCAATGCGAAAGCGAAGGGGAAGATGCAACCGGGCTGATAAGGAGAGCTTCGACGAGTAACAGAGCTATGACCGACAATTCGAGATTTTGGTCGTTCGTGATTCCAAGACATTATCCCTGGAGACATTTACCACCTGGTCAAATGATTTGAGTAATGTGCTGAATTGTGATGCGCACAGCCATAGTTCGCAAAGTGTTGCCAAGGAGAGTCAAATTGTGATGTCCATCCAATATTTTGCTCTGTTAGGCTTATTTGCTCTTCCTGTTCGTGATAAGTAGCGGATTCCCATAAACAGCCCGCGCTACACCCAGCCAACTCTGCAGTTAACTATATGGATACGACTTTTGTAACTCGCAAAGCACGTATGATAATGGATGAAATTGTGGAACTTGTCCGGAGAATCGGTCGACAACAATGCCACAACGCATACTACCGGGCCTGCTATTTCCTTCTAAAGGAGATGCAGGAGCGGATTACACACATTCTCCACAGTCGACTTCATTTACACACGGAAGATCCGATACAAAGTCTGAATCTGCGTACGATAGTAGCAATTGCTATCGACCTTCGTCATGCTACCAAAACTATCCGTTTGAGGCAGAAAAATGCCTTCTCGGACTGGAAAGGGATTTTCTGAAAAGTGTGTTATTCTTATTTCAAAAATACTATTCTACAGAGCTGTCTTTACTCCGCATGGGCCCATATTGCAAGCTAATTGCCTTCCTGAAAAGGAATATATATGTACAACTGAGAATCGCACCGCCGCGAGCTAGGGGTCCAATGAAAGAGGAAATGTGATCGATCACTCTCTCTCGGAAGCTTCATAGCTCGATAGTATGGTGTCTTCAAGTAAAGAGTAAAATGGGACGGTTCTCTCACTGCCAAAGATAAGGAAAGCAATCAACGTGCCATTTATGTATGTATTATTGATCTGTAAGAGAAAGCTTCCACGGACTTGTTGAAGCCGGCCTGTACTTGAAAGAGGGCTACAGGTCACTGGCATCATCCTCTTTATATACATGATTGTCAGTAGACTTAACCTGTCACAAACGGCGAGTTGTTTGCCTGAGGTCGTGCGGTTACCCATGAGGGTAGAGGTTCGGGTTGACGGCCAGTTTTGTTGAGTATCATGGTGGCTGAACCTTATAGCAGGGATGGATTGGGAATAGTATATATATGAGGCATCCCGCCTCTGTAAAAGATAACTCCGCAAGTCAACAATCTATCAACCTATTCTCACTTCAACAGAGGTACCCGTGGGCGGGTCGAAAAGGTGAGAACCCAACCCAACCCGCGATTTCTTGAGGTCTAGTTCCTCCAAACCAAAACCCGCCCMAAACCCGGGCGAGGTTTAGTCACATTACTATTTTGGGGGTTGTGGGGGCTGCTTCCCTCCTACAAGTGCCTCACGAGGGTCAGTTGCCCGCCTCTGTAGTTTATTTCGTCATTGCTCATGCAGTCAAGACGAAGTCAAAACTCGATCTAACCCATTGCCTTCCCTCTGTACAGTGCTTCTCGAAATCGGTCTGACCTCCAGACACATGATGATTGTTTGCCAGCCCACTGCCCAAGAACTTACTTTAAATATTATATTGACCCACCACTTTTAATGAGGGCGGCCGTAACCTCCTCAATACAAAACATGAAATGTAAAACGTGCTGTACGAAACTTTGCTTTAACTAGTTAACTCTATGCTTTATCAACCTGCATAGTCCGATGCCCCTCAATCCAAGATGCTGCGGAAATTTTCGGAAATGATTCATGCAGTAACCTCCATTTACAGGCGGCAGATCGACAGAACTACAAGAGCCTTTTCCATCCTTGATATGCGCGGCGGCGATGGCTTAACTGGTCTCTTAGGGAAGCGCCTCGTTTCTGATAAGGGGGTAATGAGGCCGAGTATGTCTCCACATAACTACTATGTAAAGTGTATAAAACCAAACAGCTGTGCATAGTAGCGGAAGATCTCCATGGAAGTCGTGGAGCCCCTACGGGACAGTAGATCTCAGGGATGCAAGAAGCCAAGAAACCCCTGATCCTGGTCCCTCGCAGATGGGCCATGTTGCATCAACTCCCTTTCTGGCATCAACATATCTCTGCTTTGCAACTCATAATCGTCGACAGACGTACAGTACAGATTTTTATTGTCTGATGTCGCAAAATAAGACTGCCTCTGGACAGTTGTGTCGCCCAGAGATATACTACACTGGCGTCCGACGCCGTTCGGGGGAGCTCTGACCTTTCCAAACCCAATCCACAGTTCAATATGATATATTACACCATTTCGAGTTCTGGGGCTCTCAATTTGGCTGGCATTCTTCCTTGTCTTCAGATGTGGTTCTGAGGAGTATGAAACTGTAAACCACGCGGTATCTGGAATAGTGATCTTTTTCGGCCGGTTAATTATTCCGGGGAGAGACAGATTACACAATATCACGTGCGAAAGCTGTCAGCCATTTGGAGCCTCATGTGACCTCCCTCACCAAGCGACATTTGTTTCACCCCCAATTGTTGCTTCAGACCTCGTCTGCTCCGCCACCAGGTTAATTTAGGTTGGCGAGTCAGCGAACCAGAATGGCTGGTAGCCTGCGAAGTAGCGAAAAGGCGGTGCAGCCAATCCATACGCTTGTGATCCGTCAATGCATACCGGTAGTAGGAGAATTGAAGATGTGACCTTATAATGCCGATGGTACTTACTATGCTGATCATGAATGAAGTATAAAATGGAGGATATCGGGTGCCAAGCTTTCAGGTATTATGTCTGACCTACCTACAAGGAGCAAACGAAAATAAATAAATCAGATGAAGAAACTAATAAAACCAGAAAAGTAGAAATATTTAAAACTTGGCCTTGCTGATAGGTGGACCAAGGTTATGCAAGAGAAAAGAGCTTGGAGGCAGCGTATGTCTGGTTCGGACTGATTGCATGCCGCTAAGAGCCCATCATGTTCTATCGACATATTTCCAAAGTCGGTCACAGGCAATGCACGATCGTCCCTTGCAGATTTCCCGTCGTGTCATTCCATGGGTAGATCTCGGCAACGATGAGGTAGCTAGCGAGCACCTTGGCCCAACAGATTATATGGGAATTCCGCGAGCCTGCTCAAAACCGAGCGGATTATCCAACCAGACACCTATTCTAGTCCTTGTGATGTGCTTTACTGATAAGGACCTGATAGGGTTGTTTGTAGTGGTTACTGTAACACCGATTTCCCCACTGGCTGCTCGAATGGTCAATTTGCGAAACAAAAAAATGCCCAGTCATTTTCGCGGGTTTTCACCGCCCATCAAGACTTGACCCAACCCCAATCTCCCGCCGCCCCACACCACCAAAAAGATTTTGGTTTGCCTTTGACCAGCAACATATTTCGATTCCACTTTAAGGAGGAGCTGACCAGCCTCCACAACCAATCATTTCTGCAAATGTGATGGTAACCACTGAAGTGCCTGATCGAGGTCTACTGTAAGGTCCAGCTAGGGAGTCGGATGACCTGCAGGACCAGCAAGTGAGGCCAGAAAATAAAATGGTGGAAAATGGTGAAGAATTCAGCAGTCGGGCATGGCCAGGGACCCAGGGTAACTTGCTTATCGTCTGCTTTGGCAACAGGTGCGTGTCATGAGAATCAGCGAGGGCAAACGATCTATCTGTTCAGAGAACGCAAAATTGTGCAAAATAGTCTCAAACCTCTTGAGCATCGCACTACCCGCCGTGGTCATGTTTGCCCATCAGATCATTGATATTGAAAAGTACTAGCTGATCGTGTCTTTCTTACGAAGGAGTCAGAATCGATCATTATACCACACGGACTCAGCAGTGACATACAATACTCATGGACATTACTTCACGAACAAGATGCTAAAGCTGCCCCATCTTCTCCCATACACTCAAGGTAGTAAGTAGCACAGCTTACGAAAATAGAGACAGTGGCTGGAACTTTAGGCCTGGACTTCCCTCAATAAGCCCATCTGTGGTTGCTGTGCCATACTATCCTATCTTGCATCATTACGCGCAATACACACTCTAATATATACTCGGGGAGACCGGACTGGGATACAGACAGTTGTTAATGCATACTATTAAAGGAATTAAGGGTAGAAACCCACATTTGCATTGTAATAAGAATACTCGTTTAGTGTGCGTTTGGACTGCCAGACAGGCATCAAGTTGAACCTCTGAACAACTTTCTAAAAAGGGCTAGTCCTGGGCCATCCAGATGACCAAAGGCTAATGGCTTAATGTAGCAATAATCGACCAGAGGGACGGACCAGAGGACGGTAAAACGACAACAACGATGGCCAACCAACAGTAGGGGTTGTGGTGTCGAGAATCTTAGTGATAATCCAGTTGACTGCTTCTTTACCTTAGGGAATCTCCATTGACGTATGGACGGCTAAGCATGTACCTGAGCCTGTCAGACCTGTCTGGAAAGTTGATATTCCGATATTTAGCAAGCGCAGTGACCGTGAACTGTAACCAGAGTGACGGGAAACTGTGCTTAAATGCCTGTAAGCGTTTGTGATGTCTTTGGTGCTTTTGCCCACACTTTTGCCCAGTCGCCCCATTCGCCAACAATGTTTACCCTATCTGTTGTGCCGCACAGATGCTTTCTTGAACTCCATCCAGGTGGCGTTGCTTCAAAGCGTCTTGTTCCGTCAATTGCAACCCCGCGCCCCCCCAAAAACCAAAGATCTCCCTGGAAAACCCGTGAGCTCCAGGAAACCATTGCCGACCCAAACTTAACTGGCGTGAAGCTTGGGCAAATGCTATGTGGGTAAGACTGGTGCTGTGACGCCTGTGAGAAGTTGACTTTCATGGGCCGACTCACCGAGACCAGGGTCCTTTGCCAAAACATGATGACTGGGCATTATTTAAGATTTGGAAGCATGGTATGTACAATTGGAGAAGGTACGTCTTATCTGGACGAGAGGCTGATTCACAGCAGAAACACGAGAGAACACAAGGCCACCTTAGCTTTTCTGAATGTTTCTTTCCATGGCTTGGCGAACTTAAAAGTTTCATGCGTAGTGGAACGAATACTCAACTCAACGGTGCCGGGCAAGCAACAACTTCCATAGTTCTAGGAGAAAGGTTAGCGGAAAATAACCATCCGACAGCAAACAACTTTCGGGATAAACATGAAATCTGAAATTTGAGGCACGCTTCTAGAAGAACAATTCACAGTTTAACGCCCATCTTCCTTTAACAAGAGGTAAAGTATTCAGGTAGCTGCTGACCGTAGCCAACGCACAAATTCATAAGCAGCCGACGAGCGGGGAATCTGAATTTGGTCAATGGTCGAACGGCGGTCAACTTTCATCCTTCCAAAACTGGTGGGAATTGCCCAGCAGATAATTAATTAGATCCCGCGCCGGATACCAGGTGAGGAATTTTTGGGCATTTGTTACACCCAAACTGACAAACACCTGGTCCTGCTACACCGCCCAGACAGCTCACCCTTCAGCTCAGTCCTGCTCAGTTATAGGTTTATCTCGCTCAGGGAGCGCGCAGTGTCCTCACTGAGCGCAAGGTGCTCAGCCCTGAGCTAGGCCTGAGCAAACACATTCTGTGATTGTGTTTACATTAGCTACAGTACTAGCCACATCCAGTATGCTTTTGTACTTATTTCTGTCTCAGAGAGAGAATCACACTTTCTACAAGATAGTGCTCTCTTGCAAGGTTACGTCCGCCAGGTATGGTGTCATCTCTTCAATTTCATGTGACTCAGTACTGCACACTAGGCGCTTTTTCACGAATTTTGACCGTAACTATAGCAGACGGCGCCACTCTGTTCTAGTCCACTGGTGAAGAATTTCTTGCCTGTAACTAACTGTGCCATCCAGGAGTCTTTGAACGCGCTGGATCGCTATATAATGAGATACAGTACTGTGAGACACCCTATACTCTCAAGCAAATCACTCTGTGTTGAAGGGCGCTGTCGTAGTCTTTTACTGTTAGAGGCGCCTGATTTGCAATGGAATTCCCCCCTGTCGATTGGATAAAAAGAACGCTTATAGTCGAAGGAAACATGAGAGAAAGTGTACTGGCTCTGCATAGGACGTACCGCTGGTGTGGCACAATTCCTCTGGTTGAGACTACGGAAGGCGATGATCGCAAGGCTTCTCACTGATATCAAATCGTAAGCGGCTTAATATCCTGGTCGAGTCGATTGCAGGCAAGACATGTTAAACGCCGCCAATTAAGCTCATAGCCCTGGCATTTCCTGTAAGGATGTTTTTGTTCAAAAAGGATCAATTACGACACTTCCGGTGAACATGTTTTCGAAGCGTTGGCTCACGAGCCCCGAGGCACTAGACAGTAGGGTCCTCGGTATAGATTGGATCATGTGGTGTTACATCGGGCTTTATTCGTCCAATATGTGAGGTAAATGAAAATGCACTTTACACGCACGTAAAGAGATTACTTTCTATCTGCTAAATGATATCTATTTGACTGCAAAGCATGTGCGGTGTGGCATGTTTATGCAATAAACAAAGCGATATGCCTGTGAATCACATAATGGAGCATAGAACTCTAGTACAAGTGGAAGCGGGAGAGAGTGGACACATATCTTCTTAATTTAGGATCCATCGGACGCAAGTCCAGTTTTGTGTAGGTATTCCAATGCTAATCCTTCCTGAGCGCGACCTCGCACAACTGTGCCATGGGCAGCCTCTGCATGGTTCACAAGATCAATTTTCTGTTGGAGTAGTTCACTCCCACAAACATTACACTCGACCCCTTTAACCGGCCAAGGGGGATTTACATGCTTCCGTCGAAAATGCCTTGTGAGTGATCCAGGTGTTGCGTAGTCCTTCACCCGGTCCTTTAATGGGAGATCAGGATTTCCGATACAGAGAAAGCATTTCGTGGGGCGTTTGGCCTTGGGTCTTTCGAGTCCCTCGAGTTGCTCATTTGTAGATCTGACTCGCACGGATTCCATCGCTTGGTACAGAACAATCTCGGTATCGTCCATCGCCGAGTGCCGTTGCCGTTTGGCAGGACGACAAGATTCGTCATCATCAGATGCAGAGAGGCGGCGAGATTGAGTTGCTCGTGGTGTGGGCCGCCCCTCTTCCGCAGAGCAAAACGCGGTCATCGCATTAATCGCGTCGATCCGACGCTGATACTCCGCTTCAAGCGTGGCACCCGGCATGGTCAGGATGGTGTCAACCACCATCAGATGCTGTGAAGACAGGGAGGCCTTGTGCTCTAGAGCTCCCATTACCTTAGTGTCCACCAGCTTCCCTGCCAGTTGACGCTCAAGGTCGATGACCGGTTGCTCGTTCCTGTACTTCTCCAGATTCAGCCGGGTGCGTCGGTTCCGCTGGCGCTGCTTCTCATTACGCAGTTCGCGGACCGCTTTGTTATATCTCCGCTTTGCTTCCATCGTCCGGTCTTGAAAACGCTCGAGCTTGTCTCGCAGCTGACGGTGGACCTCAAACAGCTCTCCCTCAGCAAGGTGGCCTAAGGCCGCTTGGCATCCCGCCATGGCGCGATCTAACTTGGCTTTGTGGTCCTCCCATTTGCGCTTGCGTTTGTTTACTGTATCCTGCCGCGCACGAACCACAGGGAGCTCATTGAGGGATTTGGATTCCTCGTGAGACAGCTTATATGGTCGATCAGGGTCGATCGACGCACTCAAAGAGCAAGCAAATCGCACCAACGGTGTTTGAGAACCCGTTTTGCGAATGATACCCTGCACGTCGACATCGACATCGACTTCATAATGTCGGACAAAGGTACGGATATCTGAGTGCTGTAGAATAACATTTTGAAGAGCATCCGTAACCTCTTCTATCCTTCGGGTTAGCTACCAACCTACCGCACAAGAGGAGGGTTACTCACCACTATTGTTAAATTCTTTGGCACCGGCGTATCGAAGGAGGTATGGTCTAGTGACTTGATCAAAGCCAATGATCTCGCCGGCTCGACGCATCCGGGATCGTAAAGTGGACTCCGTAAGTCTCTTCTCCAAGGCTATTCGATATCCAGTTGGTTGCCGTTCCACCTGACAAAACACAAATTTGTCCAGAATTTCGTCTTTCAGTTTCAGCTCCTGCTGTCCCTTACCATCCAGAACTTCAAGGCTGTAAAGTTTCTCTGCGCAATCCAGCACCGGTCCGGTGGTAGAAACCGTCTTGAATCCTTTAATGTGAAAGAGCATACTAAGCAAGCATACGTGCGGACTAAGGACCAGTGTTGGATCAAAAATGATTTCAGGAATCTTAAACTCATTCCTATCCAATACTCTCAGCTGGACCCTACTCTCAAGTAACACAAAGGTAAAATTAGAGCACCTACGCAGCCTTCTTTCCAAGAAACTTCTTCGTAAAGTCAGGCTTCAAGAAAATGAATAGTCGAGGTCGTCCACCTTCCGGATCTCGAATCAGTGTCAGGCCTATGTCCCGATAGCATAAGTGGAGTAGCGCCCCTGGACGGCTTGCCGTGATGGCAGCAAGCTGGCAGTAGAAAAGAAGTTGGATGCGCTGCCAGCCACAGTCGAATGTCATCTCAGTAGTAGTCAATAGGACGCGTGCAAACTCGGCGACATCTTCGATGTACATGTTCTTCTTCGGCCGTCGGTCGAGCCTTAGCCCTTTTTCTTCGGCGATAATGGCAATCACCTGTACATAATCAGCGGCCTGTCTTCTTTGGTCGGAATAGAAGGGGGCTATTTGCTCACATCTTGCACCTTGACAATCGTCTCTTTGTTTAGCTCAGACGCCGTCTCTTGTTTGAGAACAAGATGCCACCACTTCCAGAACGACTCGAGCGAGCTCTTGTATTGAATACCCGGGCAGTGTCGGCCATTCTTGCCACGACGGATATCGCACCGCCAGACAAAAAATGCATAGAGGAAACGGACCGTCTCATCTGAGTCTGAGACATTTTTCCACTGCTGCACTGCGTTAGCGCCGATGTGCTGGCAATATCTGCCAAGGAGCGACCAGTGAGCTATGGACATAGATTAGACGTCAAAGGGGTTACAAACCTATTCCAGTACATGCGAGTCTCGTCTAGTCTTTCCTGGGTGCTGTCACTGTACCGCTTCTGCCGAAGCTGAGAGACGTCCAGGCTCTCTGCTTGGGCCAAGTAGTACTCTGGCGGTAGCTGGCCATCGTCGGAGGAATCATCAGGAACGTCATCTCCGTCGTCCGAATCCTGGCTGTCATAACCTAGGTCGCTGTTGGAGTCGCTGTCGGATTCACCGCCTGAGAAGATCTCGCTGACGGAGGAGCTGGCATCGCTATCCTGGTTCTCCTTATCATCAGGGTAGAATTGCTGGGAGCGAGTCACCATAGTCAGCGCAGTCATGGCTGATACGGGAGGGAATAAGGAGATTCAGACGAATGAAAAAGCATGAAACCAACAGTGGTTTGTGTCACGGGCAAAGGCAGGTTGGCAAGAATAAGTAGTTTTTCAAAAGATGCTGAAGGAGTGAAAAGACGGGCTATTCTATTGAGCACCAGGCATTTTCGTCGGAAGGGAAGCCATTTGGACTTCCCTTCAGACCCTGGGTAACTAGGTGGTTGATGTTGGACACAGGGCAAATATCTGAAACTAACCGTTAGGGCAACAGCACCTTCAACGTGCGTGGAGGGAAGCCTTGGCCGTGGAAATTGACCAGCGTGATGCCAAGGCGGGCGTTGGTTAGAAAGACTCATAAAACGGCCACAGAAGTAGCCATTTTCGGCCGTCTGCTAACCGTCACATCGTTAAATAGAGTAGTCCTTTATCCTATAAATACTAAGCTATAAGCAGACTTCTATTCTTAGTGGAATAAAATATCTTATGCTAAAACCTATGCAGTAAAGAATATTAAGCTAAGATAGTTATATAGGTAAGTAGAAGTATAGGATTATTTTACAGAGGCTGTAGGTGTTCCTTCTAGTAAACCCTTACTTTACTATATAACTAATAGGTATAGAGCTCTATTTACTCACCCTAACTTCCTAAAGTAAAATAGGATAACTAATCTATATTATTATTTAAAGAGACATTAAGGTTCTTAAGATGGTTATAGATTAGAGAGAAGTCTATAATAATATCTTATTGCTAAGGTTTACTCTTTAATCTCTTATTATTAGATTATATATTAATTATTAGGACTGCACCTATACCCTAGAATAATTTATTAACCAGCTCCTTTAATTTATTATTACCTGTTAACTCCCCTTTTATATAGTTAAATATATCTAATTTACACGCATAATTTAAATAGCAAATCTAGATATATATATTCCCTCCTATATCACTCTTACTAAGCGCCTCTAAGAACTTACTCTTATTAGTTATTCAGAACTTATTATAAAACTTCTACTAAATAATAAAATTTCCTTAGCTCTGGACTGCTGGATAAGTCCTAACTATAAGCTATTTCTTACTATTACTACTTACTTTATTAATGAAAGGTTTAAATTTCAGAAGATACTCCTTAGGTTTTATCTAATTAAGGGTAAGTATACTAGAAACTATCTTGCAGAGATTATTATAAATATCCTTTCTCTTTATAGTCTTTAATCTTATATTCTTACTATCACTACTGATAATATAAGTAATAATAGGAAGATGATATAAGTATTAGGAACTAAACTCTAGAAAGGACTGTGGCTTGGTTCTTTTTAATAGATAATATTTAATCTAGGACTTATAGGTGTACTTTATATATATATATAGTTAACTTCTCATTTAATAAGATAGATTATTAATAATATCTAATATATACCTTGCCTAGCCCATGTCCTTCAGCTTACAGTAAAAGCTTTCCTAATCTAGTTAAATATTAAATTAGAAGATAACTAGATTATAAAGACTTAGTCTAAGGGCAATCAGCAGCTTCAAAGTCCACCTAGCTTAAAATAATCTCTTAAGAAGGTTTAACTTCCTTAATCTCTCATTAATAGATTTCTAATAATTTCTCTCTATAGATATAGAAGATTATTAAGTTTATGAATGCAAGTCCTTAATGCTAATAGAAGTTTATTTAAATCTAATATAATAAGGGTTAAGAATCTTAAAAGATATACCTTCTCCTATAAGACTGCAAGACATAATAGAATTTAATATACTTAATACTTTGCTAGGCACTAAAACTACAGAGTAAGGTAAATATCTTTATAAATACTTAGAATTAGCCTGATATCAAGCATCTTCAGCTCTCTAATTTTAAGTGGAAGCATCTTGAATATCTGATTAAACTTCTCTATCTATTCTTTACCTTTATAATAAATCTTTTAACATCAGGACCTAGTGTACATGATGTATACATAGTCTATAATATCTTATTTACTCATCTAAAAGATATAAGTGAAAGAATGGAGAAGAAGAAGGCCCCTTAGAAAAAATATCTTATAAAGGCACTGTAAGCAGCCTCTAATAAGCTAAAGAAGTACTATAGCTATACTTACCAGACAGAAGGGTATATTTATACTATTATAATAATTCTTAATCCTTCCCAGAAGCTATTAATTTTTTAGAAGGGCTCTTAGGCAGAGGAGCAGATTAACTAGCATAAGAAGTATACTATAACTTTTCAGGAACTCTTTTATTACTATTACCTCCTACATCCTAATACTACCACCCCTTCTATCTAGCTAAAGTAAAAGGAAGGCCTACAGCAGGCTATCTTTAAGCTCTAGAAATAAAAATAAAAATAGCCATCTTAGTTAKGTCAACTCTATCCAGAGTTAGAGATCTATCTTTAAGAAGGTATAATTTCCTTTACTTACTATTATTAAATCTAACATTAAGAGATTAGGCACTGAAGTCCCTGAAAACCTGGATATTCTTGACTAGTAGTAATAGAATTCTAGATAATTTCTAATACTTAGTTATATAGCATCTGACTTTCTTGCTATCCCTTCTAGTAGTATTAGTGTTAAATAACTTTTTAATAGTACTTAAGATATTTATCACTACTATCATGCATAATTACACACAGCTACTATTAAGTTAATTATAATCTAGATATATATAGATAGGTTTGCTATTACCTAAGACTATACTAAGTTATATAATATCTCTAAGTCTGAGGAACTACTTAAGAAATAGGATCTATATCACTATCATAATCAGTTAGTGAGTAAGGTAGATGATATGATAAGTCAAATATATATTAATGACTATGAGGATCCTGATTTCTTTAATAAAGATATTAATTTACTTAATAAGGCTTTTACTTTCCCTAATAATATAGATGGTGATAGTAATGCTACATCTACTATCTTACCTTTACCTTCTAAGCCTATTATAGCTCTGCCTATTAAGCCTGTTTTATCTTTACCTGTTAAGCCTATTATACCTCTACCTGTTAAGCCTATTATATCTTTACCTATAGAGCCTGTTTTATCTTCACCTGTTAAGCCTATTTTATCTTTACCTATTAAGCTAGCTAGGCCTCCACAAGCTAAGCCTGTTAAGCCTATTAAGCCTATTTAGCCTGCTAAGCCTACTAAGCCTACTAAGCCTTAGCCTCTAGCTCCCATATATTCTCTTCATAATAGTATACATTAACCTAGATACTATTATAAACTAGCTGGCATGTGAATAAAATTTAGGATTATGTGCTTATTATATTATAATTAAATCTCTTAATGGTAGATTATAGATACTTAAAGACTATAGATCTAAAAGATTTAATAATTCTTATCTTATATTTAACTTTAAAAGGCTAAGAGACACAGCTAATTAGGTGATTAAATAGGTTAGATAAACCACTAAATCCATAAACCTACTAAATTCTGCCAGTCATGTGCACCCAAATGGGTTATCCATACCCATATAGGTTGGGTATCATCCACCCATATACATGTGGGTTGGATGAGGGCCTACCCTTATCCAACCCAAAGTGTGGATTGGGTGGGTTGGATATGGATTTGCGGATTGGGTAAACCAGTCTAGTCGGGATATCTCTTGATCAAAAGAAGTAAGTTTGCTCCGTTTGCTTCGTCCGCAGCGCCAAGACATAATATACTGCGCCTACAGGCAGACACTGCACTACGACAATATTATATAAAATGTAATAATAAACACATTATAATACTGGTAAGGCAGTCCTTGACTCTAACATCCCTTCCTCAGCCTTTCTGATATCAATGGTGCACTTTCTCACGCATCTACTATGTGAACCATATATAAATATTTACACACAACTATGCAGCTACACACTTATTCCAACTGAGGCCCTTAATGATGCAGAGTAAAATCAAGAGATCCACTTCCCTGGAAACCCTCCGCAGTCACCATCTGGAAGACCGGATTCCCCGGCTGCAAACCCAGCTGCTTCCAGCGGTTGAAATGCGCCGTAACGTCGACCGTGCCGGTGGTGCGATGGGACCGACGAACGGACCACAGCTGGTTGAAGTTCTTGGTACCGTAGATCTCCGGCACATTACGGTAGGGGAGCATGTAGACATCGTAGACGCCATCGTTAGCGTACACCTGGCCGAGGATGTGGCCGTTGCCCGGGGTGCCCGTGCCGTGCGACTCGACGATGTACCACTCGGTGACGGGGTTGGTGGTCCAGCCGTAAATGGCGAGGGTGTAGTCGCCCTTGGCGGAGAAGTGACCGTCCCAGGTGAGGGTGCTATTGGATATTAGTTATAAAGCGAGAGACTGATAGAGGGGATAGCTGCATACCGGGTGCTGCCACCGCGGAAGCCCTTTCCACCGAGGAACTCGCTGCGGGAAGGCAGGTTCCAACCGAGTTTGAAGTGGCCGCTGTTGGGGTCCTCAGTGTAGCCGGCGCCGGCGTGGTTGTCGTTGTACAGGGAGTAGTAGAAGCCGGCAGCGTCCACGCCGTCTTTGCTGGTGCTGAAGGTGGTGTCGCGCCGCTCGAGGTTTCCGTCCGTGGCGTTGAAGATGATTTCTCCCATGTGCTGGAGGAAATCAAAGGACTTGTTGGCCTCGACGGCGGGCTGGGTGGTGGGATCTGAGGGCACGCCCAGCGCCCCAAGAACAGGGAGGAAGAACAAAAGTCGGCTGAAAGTGACCATTTTGGGTGCTAGTCTGTCTCTGTCTGTCTTTTCTGCACGTTCGTCGGCGGGTTGTCATGGTTAAATAGCTGTCGCTTTGGACTGACTACTAGAAAATTCATAAATACTGTCCCTGAAATGAGAGACCCTTAATTGTGGACAGTACGCAACGTGGGTCCAATCTACTTCCAGGGCCGTTAGGACAACGGCTGAGACTAGCGGTTTCACGTTGCTACAACGGCAGGATAAAGCTAAGCGGGACAGGGTCTCCAGGGTCTCCAGGGTCTCCAGTGGATCCTTCCTATGACCCTATCGGAGCCTCAAGAGAAGAACACGGGAATGTTCCGAAATAAATCCGAAGTAAGACTGGAGCCGCTAAATATCTTCAGTGTTGCTTGGTTTACTCCCTCACGTATGTGATTTCGGGTTAAAACCTATGAAAAGAAATCTGAACCAGTAGTCTATAGACGAAACAATGACGTCCACTCCAAGACATAGACCAGCACCTAGACCGATTTGCGGACCCAGATGAACCAATCACCTAGACATCTGACTACCAAGAGGAATACCATCCTCGGCCCATCGCGACCGGCGCGAGACAAACGAACCCGGGAAGACGAGACCAAGCACAATACCAGTCAGCGCCATCAAAACCGCGTCGAAGACGTAGAGGAGGTACTCATGTCTCATGATGAAGCCGGCGTTGCCCTGGACGAACTCGACCACCCGGAAGACGGAGCGGACCAGGATCAGCACGCAGGCGGCGTAGAGGGCCCACATGAGTGTCGGCCAGGAGATCCCAGAGCCCTGGGACTTGAGGTCTTTGGAGATGGTATATTTTGGATGGCGGACGACACGCCAGTGGAACAGCGATGCGACGAGGATGAAGAAGCCAAACCAGAGTAGCTGAATTGCGAGACCGGCGATGACGATGTGCTCCCCCGTCTCCATTGCGTCGAGGGTGCCCGCCGCCATGTATCCGCCCCCTGTGACGCATCAGATTGGTTAGTAGGTGCGATGGACGGACAGGAGAAGGGATGTTACCTCCGCACTGCAACAGAAAGGAAATGACATCCCCCACGACAAAGATCTTGGTCAGCCAGCGTACTCGAATCAGCGAGGCTGGCTCCGCGTCCAGCTCCAGGACCACTCGTCCGAGAGTCATGTAGATGGAGGCGGCGAACAATGGGGGAGCGACGAGGATCAACATGGTCTGGACGATATATGGCCCCAGGGCGGTTGGATAAAAATGGGAGAAGATGCGAGCAATATAACCTGCCGTTTCAACTTCGAATTGTCAGCTTTTCATCATAACGTGGATGATGATGATGACGACGGTGAAGACATACAAAGAAGACCAATCATGAAAGGGACGAAGAAGTACGCCCTGCGGTTCACGATGCGATAGAGATGCCCCATGGCCAGGAGACCAAAGACTGCTGCCATGATTGCAGCAGCTGGGATTGAAGGAACATAGCGGTATAGTTTGTAAACATAGTCGTTGTCTGCCATTGGGCACTGCGGCGCTGGATTTGGATACAAATGGGAGCTGATACAGATTGCCTCAAGAGGAACGCAAGAAATGAACTTTTCGAGGCCGTCCACCGTGGTATTTGAGAAATCCCAATTCTCGCTCGATTCTATTATCGGCGCGTCCAAAGGTAGTCTGTATACGAATGTACGAATGTACGTAGGGGTATGCGGATATACGAGTATACGAGTATACGAGAGCCAAGTCGAGCGGCAACGGAACCAGGCCCATCAATTCTTTCCTGTAAGTTGATAGGCCGGTTGGAACTTAGACGACTTAAATGTTAGCTAGTTCCCAATAATACCTGCTGGATCGTCCCCGCTCCGAGCGTTCATCAGTATTGCAGAGTTTTCTATCCTCTGGAGTCCGGACATGTTGATCAACTTAACCGAACAGCCTCAAGCCTGATTGATACAGATATCTACGAAAGCTTTCTACTAGCCATGCTGAGGTGAAGAGATTCGAATTGTACACTAACTTCTGCCAAGTCTGAAGTACGTACTATCAAGTTTGGGGCTTGCTTCTAACATCGGTATGCGACAATCTATGACTGAAAGGGCACACAGAGATGGAAGAACGAAACCATTTGTCGAAAGAAAGGCAGCAAGGGCGAGTAGAAAATTCACACTGCTACAACACTAGCAAGAAGCTCCATCGGGCCAGGACTAAACACACTGGTGATAGTAAGGGTTGTACTGGTGGCAGGTAGAGCCGGTCTCACAAGAGCCAGAACCAGTCCAGTTCAGACCACCGCACTGAGCATATTTCTTGAGGACTCCAGCGGGGGCTGCAACGGGAGCTCCGGCGGGGGTTCCGGCGGACGAGGAAACAGAGCTACCACAACCCGTACCAGCACCAGCGGTGGGTTTGGCGGAGGATTTGGTGAGAGTCGTCATGGTGGTGGGAGCGGCCGAGGCAGCATTGTTATTGACAGCCGGCGCAGTAGCAGTGACAGCAGGAGAAGCGCTGGCAGCACCGACGCTTCCCGCCGAGCCGCCAGACCAGACAGAGGGGCCAGGGAGGTCGTAAGCCGTAGGAGTGGGATAGTAGATGTTGAAATGGATATTCGGATCTTCAGGCTGGTACACACCGGGAATCTTGACGACAGGACTCGGCGATCCAGACCCAGAACCCGTCACCTCGATCTGGGCGCAGGTGAAGTAGAACTCGGCCTTGTCCATGAACCCTCGGTGCAGGCCGATATGCTCCACGCGAACAAGATACTGCCCGGGCGGGGTGTTCTCGGGGATCTTGAAGGATGCGGTATCCTTGCCCCATGTGCACCAGTCCTCATCCACGATCCCCTTGGAGGTGTCGGCGCAGAGGCCTTCCTGGTAGACCTTGAACCAGTCGCCGGAGCCGTCGTACGACTTGACATCGCCGGGAGCCTTGGACATGTAGATCTGCAGAGGTCCCGGGTGCTTCATCTGGGCCCCGTAGGCAAGCTGAAAGCCGAGCTCTGTGCCGGGGGCCACCGTGTACACCTTGGTATTGGCGGCGGACCCCATCGAGCCCTGGTTGCAGCGGAAGTCATTGCTGAGGATGTCGGAGGGGAGGGTGGGCTGGTAGCCGTTGGTGTTTCTGCGAATGTACTCGAAATCCTGGGTGGTTTTGCCGTCGACAATGAGCTTGGAGAAAACATAGTGACCCGAGACCAGCGGGGTGACGCTCGCAAGCGAGAAAAGAATGGACGAAGTGAGCTTCATTTTTTTTAGAAAAGCGCGAACGATCTAGTTCGCCGAGAGAATGGAAGGAAGAAAATAAGAAGTGAAAGACTGGGATGTCAACAAAGAATGAATGAATGAGTTTGACCTGCCAGAGAAACGGTGAGGGCGTTGTGGGTTAACTTATATACTGCGTCATCTCAGCGCTATCAGCTCGATTGACACCGAATAAACACGAAACCAAATGTTTCACACTTCGAGACGATTTCTCAGAACACAATAGGCTGGAGTCGTCCAGACGATGACCTGGGCGGCCTTCTAAGGGTCTGGTCGAGGCTAGTGTTGAAGACGCTCCACACATGTAAGCCTAACTCTGGCTAGAGGACCACATAGATACAAGACCCTGACAGACGAGTCATGCACCAGACTACATCCTCGGCAAAATATCAGACAGGGTCTGATCAAGCTCGACATAGCCCTTCCTAGTTCCATGGAGGAAAGAAAGTGGAGAATCAAAGGCAATATCCGATACGAATTTCAGGGTCTGACGGTCCCTGAAAGAGACAGACTATGTTTCAGATACAGGGCACTTCACCATATTCGGCCACACCCTTGAATCTTGGCCATTTTCTAAACCCAATTTTCATGTCTTCGGCAATAAATCCATCGACCAGAGCCGAGATTCGCCCTATGGTAATTGTGATGCCTGCAAAGAGTACCCAACCAAGCCTGTGGTGTTAGCTGGGATGACCCCGTCCGAGATGTGGCCGAAGTACCCTCCGAGTCCAAATTAGCCATTGCATGCTGAAGTCCGCGAGAAGCCAAGCACAGAGACTCCTTCTATCTCGGCTAAATCCTGCGACACGTTAACCGCCGTGGCGGTTAGATGGACATATGAAGGAACAGTGCCAGTCCCAGGCTGGCGTTGAAAAGGCAAGGACAAAGTAATGCCTGATACCCATCTTACCTGGCAATGTAGGCACAGCAGCGATGTTTTGTATTTGATATTTCGCCATAGAGGCAGAGATGGCCACCTTATAAGACCTTCACGTCGCTTGGCAGGCTTCTCCGTCTAGCTCAGGAGAGAAATACGAATACAGGATTTCAAGCTTGGTCCTGAGTCTGAAACACAAAAGTACGAATGCGGCCGAAGAACAAGGGATTTTGTGTTGTAATTTTTAGGGTGCACTGTGCAACTGGCGAGCCACCTGTCTAGGCACGGAGTGTTCAATCTCATGGGTGGTCCTTGTAAACTCCATTGCCGTATGAGAGTTAATGCCGCATTGTAGTCTTACAATACATTATGAAGCTCCCCAGAAGGTTGGAGACAGACCATCCATGTCTTTTATTACAACCCAAGACCCAAGGCATTCCCTCAAGCTGTGCCTTATACTCCCGTAGGAGCAACTCGATCCTTTGCGTAGATCAGATGCTCGTGGGGATGGTACGAGGTGCGAAGACCACGGCCGACGCTCATATGAACATGGCATTGCTGTTGATATTAGCCTCGAGGCAAACCATACCGACATAAGAAGGAATCAACTTACTCCTACCTCCCATGGCCTCCATCCGACACCCAGGCAGTTGCTGTTGGGAGCACAGTCCTTCTCAAGGCACTCGAGAAGCGACGAGCGGTGGTAGACCTGCACTTCCCGTCCCAAGACAGTCCGCACAAAGCATTTCTTCTTGAACACAACTCCAGCAAGGGTGAAGGTCTCCTCTTGGCAGACGCCACCACACATATTCTGCCAGCTGTTATCCCGGCACTTGGGGTCCTGGGCTTCGGTCGTGTCGGTAGGCTTCGGCGGCTGCTGCTTGTCCTGGCAGGTCTTGAGCTGCTGCTGCAGTCCCGCCTTGTCGCTCTCGCACTGTTTTGCTGCACCGGTGCCTTGCTGGCGGAGCTGTTCCTTCTCCGCTTCACAGTCCGACTTGCACTTTTGCAGCGCGTCGTCGCGTTCCTGGCGCAGTTGAGACTTGTCTTTCTCGCATTGCTCGTGCTCTTTCTGCGCGGCTCCCTCGGCCTGTTTACGCAGCTCGTCTTTCTCCTTCTCACACTGCGTCTTGGACTCTACAACAGCGGCATCCTTCTGCTTCTGGCACTCACGCAAAGCCTGTTCTCCCTCCTGTCGGAGTCTATCCTTCTCCGTCGCGCACTGGGCCTCGCCTTCTTTCTTGCCCGCATCAACCAGATCCTGACAGTCCTTGGTACGATCCGGTTTCTCCGGCTCCTCGGGCGTCTTCTCGAGAATGAGGAACCCGGGGTTGGGGGTATACCGGGTGTATCCTTTGCTCGACAGCAGGAAGCATTGAGATATGCCGCTCCCCCAGGAGCTGCCCTGGCAGCTCGAGTCGCTGGCACATAGCTGGGCGCATTCCCTCGCGCTGGAGACTCCCCGGTGGGTTGTGCCATAGTCATTGCCATTCTTGAGGAATGTTTTGCAGGTATATTCGAAAACGACGCCGCCTACAGTGCCTTTGCCGTTGTCCTGGTTGGCACAACATGCTTCATAGCCGGCTTTACCTTTGGCGTCGGGCGAGAAACATGCGGAGGCCTCCGAGGCCCAAGCAACCTCTAGAGCACAGAGGAGGGAAAGGATGGAGAGTTTTAATAGCATGTTTGCTTACTGATCTGAAAGAAAACATGAATTCCCAGAAGAAAGAGCTAAGATTTGCCTGATCGGACAGGGCTCCAGGAGATTTATAACCACCTGGTAGTTTGTAGCACCTTGAGTTCAAGTCTGTCCGAGCGAGGACGCAAATACGGATGCAGTCAATGAAGGCAACACTTAACACATAGGATCAATGGCCTGGTCGTCAGTGGACGATCTGCAGCGCTGTGAGACGCCAAGGTATCTACGAGAGGTTCAGGTCGGGAATCCGTCTGTCTGTGACCTGTCTCATTCCCGCAGTGGCGCTGCATTAGTGAGCTGAAACCCAGGTGGTATCGAGTGCATCACAGTTAGTAGACAGTTAGCTGCAGCTCAAGACGGGGTCCAAGCTGTTCCAATTGAGCAGCATGAATATCACCAAAGTCTCCAGCTTAGATTTGGTTGAATGCGGGGAAGATTGCAAAATACATACTTCGCTTTTGGTCTTTCCCGGGACCTCTTGATTCAGTAATCCGTATCCTTACTCCCCATGGGGAATCACTCGGCTCATTTTTATCCTCGTACAGTTATCTCATATTCTAGGCTTACGTGGGTATCATCTTACCATTGTTGAGAGTCAATTTGGGATGTCTGGCACTGCTGGGGAACGCCTATAGACGAGATACTGTGGACGTGGCTGGCTGGGGTGACTGGTCTCATGTAGATCCCTTTGGATATTGACTGAATAGAGTCGTCATCTAGCATCCACGTAACCTGGCAGTTCACCCGAATTAAGTTTCTCTCTGCATGGCGCAGGTTACACTGCTGGAGGCGAGCTAACCATGCATTTACCAGTTCAGAGCATACCGCTGATCATTGCCGAAACCACAAGCAAATGGAGACCTCCCTCATTCCCGTGTTGCGCTGATCGGCTATTTGCGCTTTTTATCCAGCGATATTAAGCTAGGTGAGGGGTATCTGCAGCCTCGAGCCAGCTGAGGAACATAGCCGGAGTCCACGAACAACTGTTCATGAGGTATTGGAACAAGATCGACCTTGGAGGTTCCAGCTACTCTATTTAGGATCTGCTATTGGACAGCCATCTGAGACATGGTGAACCGTCGGTCAATGCTGCAGAGATCTGCAACTATAGAGTTTCCAGCTAACCATGGCAGATCGCGGGAATCGTCGGCCTGGCCCGGGGTAGCATATTACGAGACTAAATGATATTAATATTTCAGTATCGCTCTAACTTACTATGCTTTTCTGTCAATTGAACGAACTGATCCTCCTTCTCAGCTGGCAATGACAGGTGTGAATATCTTTGTCATAAACGCAGAGAAAAAGCAAACATAAAGTCGATCTATCCACGCTATGAGACAACCCTGCTAGTCCATGGCCAATGGCATTGCTGGAATTGATTAAGCTAAGGTCCATCTTGCTAGACGATGCAGGCCTGCAGATGGGCGTCCCAGGATTCAGCTGAGCTGCACTAAACTAGTAGTTGTCTCTCCAAGTTCTCTCGACCCACATTCCCCTCCTCTGGTAAGTGTGACAGTGCATGCAGAAATCCAGTCGTCTATCGTACTCTAACTCCATCCAGCCGTGGCGATATCCCTCATTGGGAGACCTACATCAGTGGCGCCAGCGCGTGCAAACCTGGGCTCTGTGGCTATCGAAGACACCGGAACTGCCGCGATGATCTTAGGTACTCCGCACTGAGGAGCACAGTTAATGGATGATCCATCTGAGGAGCTGAACACTGAGTTGTAAACCCAAGCCTGATCTCCAGAAACGCAGTCGACATCTCTATCCCTGTGAGCTGCTATAAAGAGCGTCAACTCACGGCTTCATCAGTTTCTCGCTCATCATCCCTCCCATCCTTCTATCTTTATCTTCTTTCTGCAGTGAACACCCGTCATGGTCAAAACAAAGTCCCTCTGGGCACTCGTCCTGGCACTCTCTGTCCAGACACAAGCCAATCAGTCCCCCCTCAGGAAGTCCAAGTACACTCTCGACGATATTCGTCCATTGACCGATCCCTCTTCCGGCCTGGTCAAGTGTTGCCCCGAGGGAACAGAATTCGATGGCAAGGCTTGCGTCCTTGGTGTACCCACTTGTCCCGAAGGCTTCATCCGCAAGGAAGACAAGTGTGTGTCCACGGTGAAGCCCATCTGTCCCCACGGCAGCGAATACGACGGCAAAGTCTGCATCTCTACGTCGGAGCCAGCCTGTCCACCCCCGACCGTATGGAAAGGCAAGTCCTGCGTGACTGGGCCTCCCGCCTGTCCCTCTGATCTCGAGTATAACGGCAAAGTGTGCCAGTCGAAGGAGAGTCCCAGATGTCCCGAAAACTACACCTTCAATGGCAAGACTTGTGTCAGCGTCAAAAAACCCCAGTGTCCCGAAGGATTGGCATTCCACGACGGACACTGCATCAGTGAACGTCCCCCCGTCTGTCCTGCAGGCATGGAGTACCGTGAGGCACTCAAGGTGTGTGTTTCCGTCTCCGGACCGTCCTGCGAGGAAGGCAGCCGTGTCAAGGACGGCATGTGCGTATCCGATATCAAGCCCTCCTGTCCCGAAGGCAGTACATTCCAACCTACCACGGGCAAATGCACCACGACCGCCAAACCCGCATGTCCGCCAACCTCCGAGCTGGACCCCGTCACCAATAAATGCGTGCTGTCCGAGTCAGCCACCTGCCCGCCCGGAAGCGATCTCTCTCTCGACGTGGCCTCCAACACCGCCCGCTGCTGTCCCGCGGGGATGATGTGGAATGGCAAGGTCACGCAGATGACATGGAATGGCGAGGTCTGCGTGATGGGAGTCGACGAGAACGGCAAATGTCCGCCAGGAATGACGCTCGTAGGCAAGTTCTGCCAGAAGCAGTCCATCAAGATCGCAACCTGTCCGCCCAAATCCAGACTCGACGGTAGCCGCTGCGTGTCGACCGAACCCCCCGAATGCCCACCCAGCTACATCCTCGACGGCTCCACCTGCACGCTCATCGAAAAACCCCAATGTCCACCTGGCCTGACCCTCTCCGGCGAAAACTGCATCTCCTCCGTCCACGTCAGCTGCCCGCCCGACACCAAATTCGAGGCCGGCCTCTGCGTCAGCCTCTCCCGGCCCCAATGCGAAGAAGGCTTCACCTTCGACGGCACCAACTGCATCTCCACCACACATAACCCCAAGTGCGACGACGACGACACCTTCAACGGCAAGGACTGCGCCTCCGGCCACTTCCCCACCTGCCCGCAGGACACCATTTACGACGGCACCCGCTGCGTCTCCACCGTCAAGCCGTCCTGCCCCGCCGGCTCGGTCCCCAACGGCGACGGCGACTGCGTCACCAGCTTCATCCCCTCCTGCGCCCCCGGCACCACCCTCGTCGCCGGCGGCTGCATCGTCGGCGCCCCCACCTGTATCAAGGGCACCGTCTTCGACGGCAAGCAGTGCGTCAGCCCCAAGGACCCGGAGTGCCCGCCCGACCACAAGTGGACCAACGGGCGCTGCATCAGCCTCGTCACCACGGAGTGCGAACAAGGCTACACCCTGCTCAACGGCGAATGCGTCTCCGACCGCAAGCCCGAGTGTCCGGCCAACACGCACTTCGACGGTCAGAATTGCGTTGGCTCTGTGCCTGAGTGCGAACCCGGACTGGAATTCGATGGCGAGGACTGCGCTCACCCCGAGGAGCCGAGCTGCCCGCCTGGAATGCGGTTCAACGGTAAGAAATGTGTCGCGGAGAAGGACCCAGTTTGCCAGCCTGGCACCGTCTACAGCAAGAAGGCCAAGGAGTGTCTTTCTATCGAGCGGCCTGCTTGTCCACCCGGCCAGGTCTTCAATGGCAAGCAGTGTGCTCTGGCATCGGGTGACTGCATGAACTTTGAGTACTGTCCTCCTACGGGAATTCCTGAGTGCTCGCCTGGTTCGGTGTTTGATAAGCATACGGGAATGTGTGCGGACTGGTAGACTGCCGGTTGAGATATATTGCAGATTAGTTCAGAGTCAGCTAAATAGCATCTTCAGGTCTGTTGTCAGCCCTTTATTAATCAAAATGAGCATGTTCTATGGCCAGATTCCTCCGTAGGCATGTAGTAAATGAGGATTATCACATCTCTTGCGTCCGTCGAGGGATGGTCATGTGATCCAGATCTACCCTAACTGTTGCAGCGACATGCTGAGGTTGTATATAGCTGCCAAACAGAGCGCTGCGCAAGGTATCTGATGGTCATTCGTGGAATATGGTACTCAGGCGTACAATAACATATAGATTCTACTTCACTGCAATTTAAGACTTTACATAAGTTCAACCAGCCGTGGAATACCGGCGTAGCGATATGGATGACGTGAACAGCCTCTAATCCGCCATAAGCCTCATTGCCTGGTCATCCATGTCTCTCCACTCTTATCGAGATATTTTGGCAATTGGGCATAGTGCAAGAATGATATATGTCAATCAATATTTATTGTGTCCCTAACCCGCATCTGTGAGTATGAGTATGGTAGACTGCATGACCTTGACTATAGTTACCCACAGCGTTTTGTGAAGCAGACGGATATCAGCTGGTATGAACAGCATTGTCTGCTTATTAAACTCATTCAAGCGAAGGATCATACAGTGGATTTATCTTATACTTCTTCCCACTGGTGCGTCATGCAGAATTGGTTCGACAAGCTTCCAGTTCTCGTCGTTGTCTGGTTCCCCGCCCTGTCGGCGTAGCTCCATGATGTTGGAAGCGGTAGAACATTGCGTTGTCCATCTACTTGGTTTCATTAGTCATGTCGTCGCAGTGGCAGCTATTGTGATTGGTAGAATGCTGTGGATTGAGATTGGGACTGGATCAGCATCTGTATCTTTCTTCACTCAAGTCAGCCTATACATACCGGAATAAAGGCCAGTGACGATGTGAAACACCTGCACTGACAGCTTCCGGTAAGGTAAGTAACAGCCTTTCCATTTTCTTCCGAAAAAACTCGGCAGATCTTTTCTTTTGGCTAGGCGACCGATGCTTCTTTTTCGGCTTCTCGTTCTTCTTTTTGGTATCGAACTTTATTTCAGCATCATTAGTCGACCAGAGCCAACCAGCAGCACCACTTCCGCCACAGCTACGGTAGCTGAATCAAGTCATGCAGCCCGAGTTCGCTTTGTCGATCTGGAAGACGAGTCCGTTGCAGAGTGGCATCCAGTTGACCGGTGAATGCAGAGGGATCACACACTTTTTATCAGTATCCTCACTCACTCTTCATAGTAGGCGAGTCGGCTTTACAGAATATCGAAGACGAAATGGAAAACTTGGGGTACCTCGGGATTCCGACAACGACGCGGCCTAATGAGTTCAGACAGCCTATTACCACAGATCATGACGCCGCTGAGACATGGATGCAGGCGAACTCCCGTCTGTTACGACCGTTGGTTATGGAGAGCTGAGTTCTTCCCTTGTGGGACGTTGGTTGCTTGCATGATGGACCCGGGTGCATATCCTCAGATGACACTTCACTGGACCCATGAACCTCACTGATGATTGACTTTGACAGACTGGCGGTGGGCATTTTGATGATTTCTTGAAGTTGAAGCCTCTAAGGCGTCCATGAAGTCAGGAGGATGTCTGACGATGCTTTCTCGCTCTAATTTCTCCCGCTGGCTTGTCAGTCTTTCAAATCGGGTAGGAACCGACTGCTTGCATTCAGCCAATGGTGCTCAGCTGCTAGTATTTCGAAAGTCCCTCCTATCTGACTTCGAAAGGGTGCGGCCAAATCGCAAAGCGGCTTCCCGTAAGCCGACAAATAGAGTTGTGGCAATGGCTTGTTTTCTGTCCTCGGCTTCTAACTGGACACCAGCCCACATGAATCGACATTGATCAATGTATAGATCGACATCTCCACCTGGTTTCCCCGAGAATATCGGTTGGTTTGACATGTTCATGGCTGTACGCGGCTGTACGCGGCTGCCTAGTCACTGTCGGTAAGGAGTTCTCTTGAGGTGTCGAAGATATCAGAACTTCCGGCGGAGACGGCGGCAAAGGGAGGGCCTCTGGTTCCTCCTGGCTGGGGATTGACGGCGACGTAGGTGAACGAGTGGTACCAGTGTTGGTATTGTAGTCAGACCCCAAAGTGGGGTAGCCGCTGGGCCAGGATTCATCGCGGCAGTGCTCACCCAACTACCCCCGTTAATTATACTCGTTCTTGCCAAGCCGTGAGTTACTTACCCCTCTTCCATAGCAGTAGAGCTCATGGTCAATTCTTGCCGAGATGATAGAGCACCCTGCAGACTTGCCGCTCCATCGTCGATTAGCACCCCAACCGGAGAACAAGGCACGACCTTGCCATTCAGCCGACACGACACACTCCCATCTCCAGAGCTGAGGACATCTCTGACCAAACTTGTAGGGTGCTAACAGTTTAGCACCGGTCCAAACAATGCGGACGGATCTTGAGATCTGGTCTGATCATTGTAACTATTGCAAAGTATCAGCTGGCTCAGTTGTTTTGACCTCTGGAGGCTGCCTAGCCAGTCGGCGAGTCTTTCGCGACGATGGCACGAAGCCTCCAAAAGAAGAACACCGGCCCCCAGGTCAAAGTAAAAGAAAAGGACTGGCTGGATACCCGGTGTCTTCAGTAGTTTGACCACTGGAGGGATCATCACCGCTACTGCTGTGCAACTTGCCTCGGAGCAGGTCAACGAACCCCCTTCAGACTGGCAAGATAGTAAAGCCTCCTGTCAAAGCAGCCTGCCCCCGCGCATCATGTCCCMGTCCAAATAATCACCCATCGGATCGACTGTGCCCACAACCTGAGTCGCGTTGATGGTATCTATCTTCTCTCCAGCTCTCTCTCGAGTGCTGGCCCTCCGTCGAGCTAGCCCAGTATCTTGTTTTGCACTTCCTGCACAGAATCTGAGGTTGGTCTTGTTCACAACATGCATGCGATTGGCTTCAAGGTGCCTGTGGCTCCTCCTAGTGAATCACTATAACCTATAAACTCCATAACTGAGTCTGGAAAGTGTAAGCCACTTTGACCTTAAAGTTAGGCCATAGCTCCAGGTTTCCAATGTAGTAGATCAGGTGTAGGGCATGATTGGTGTCTATCTGGTGCTGAGTTCGAGATCGGGTAGGGGTTCTTTGAGAGCATCCCGGTTGCCAGACGAGCCTCGAGCATGCGACAGCGTTTTCCATCCCATTCATGCATGATAGATTTCTATACAAGCACCTTGAATTCGCACTGTAGTAAGGGTCCAACATCGGGGCTGATTGGCATCCATAACCGTTCAGAACGTTACCCAGGCATCTCAAGTCTAGGGTCAATGTGATCAGTTAGTTACGATCAATTAGTCGAATCAAGGGGAGAGTTCATTGTTTACCCGAGTCCCGGTCCTGCCTGGGGACGCCACGCAATGGATATATGACCAGGTCAATCGAGGAAGTGTATTCGTCCAGTGTTCGGCGGAACTCTCTTGCCTGAGTAGACAAAAGTTCGGAGTGTATCTTCTCCAGAATTCGTCGTGATCAAGAAACAGAACGCTGCAGTAGTTTGCACTTCGTGTATCGAGAGAAAAACGCAGAGAGTAGCTTGGATTGATGCTATCTATGAGCAGGAGAGAAGAACGGAGAGAATGTGGGTGGGAGAGAAGCAGCGGAGAGAGGCAGAAGGGAGAAAAACGGCAGGAAATTAAATGCAGTGAATCTGTCTAGGACGAGCTGATACATAGTGAATGACTATAGTGAATAAGGATACTGATCTAAGGCTTAGAAGCAGGAATATCCAGATATTCACTACAGTGCCAACAGAAGAACTACTGCATATGAATGCAGCCTTTATCAGGATGCTCATGTTAAATATCTGTATTGGGAATCTCAGAGCTATATAACTATATCGGATCATCGGATAATAGGACAGTGATATACAAGACAATGTTATCAGGCCATATATTATAGCATCAAAGATGTTCATCTGCAGTTTTAAACTCTTCCCGATCAGGCATACTCGGTCGAGCGCGGAGAGAATGAGCATCAGCCTCCGAATTCGCATTGACCGAATGGAAAGATTCCAGATCCCCAGACGGTTGAGGGGCAGACAACGTCTCGACAGAACCATTGGTCGATTTCTTATCGTTGACCACGCCGACTACCCCAACGGAATTACGGACGGCCCGGGTACTCGCATTGTCGAGCGCGGTTGTCGCGGTCACAGCTAGTGACCTCGCATCATCAATCGTACTGGCATCTTCTCGGTCGGCGGTCATGACACTGCGAATCGTCCCGGAACCGGCCTGGGAGACAGGCCGAGGCTGTTCCGATCGAGCGGGAATGGTTCCAGCAGCATGTCGCAAAGTTGTCGTGCTGGCATTATCTGCGTTGAACTGCTTGCTTTCATAGTCGGGCAAGACGATCATAGGACTAGAATACTTTCCCCAATTCGACGATGCTGGACGTGAGATTTCAGATGGGTTCGTGTCGCGTTCAGCACCGTTAGATGGCTGGTCTTCTCGCAGACCCTCCGGTGCTTTCCCTCCATTGACTTGTGCATTCTTGTTAGGCTCCTCAGTCGCAGACGACTCGACATGATCTCGAGATCTCGGTCTATCCATGGACGCCCATGCTGGTCCAGCGTCAACGCTCGTCAGCCTCGGACGACCCTCTTCCATCTGTCTATGGTGTTCTCTTGCGATAGTCTTTCTGTCATGCTTGCTAGCCATCCGACTCCACATCGTCATCTGGTAGCTCTTCCGCTCCTTTCCGCCCTTTTGAGGCAACACACCCGGAGCCAGTCTCCTTGCCGCCAAGGAACTTGGAGGAGGAGTATCCCCCTCAAAGTCCTGGAATCCGTGGGCCAATTCTTTTATCCGCTGCTTCTGCACTCGCAACTTGTCCTTGGCAAATTTGATATCCCACTCCTCCTTTCCGGCTATCCATTTCCGGACCAGCTCCGGGTTCGCTACGCCGATTTTATCCCGCGGGAATTGCAGGACGGAATAGGAGGATGGGGGATCGAGCGGATATATGCGACCTCTTTTGTCGACTCTTTGGCGGATCATACGATCCTGAAATGCGGGCAGTGGATCACCAGCCCTGCCGACGGACGCAACGGGCAGCCTTGGGCTACCTTTCTTCTCGCCCTTGGCCGCTGCTTCGCGACTGTCTGTTTCACTGGAGGATGTGATAGGGGAGATATCATTGTCCTCAAGGATGGCAATCTCAGAAGTCTGAGAACATGCAAGAGCCCAAGCACCGAATTGAGCAATCGATCGGTACATGTACTTGGCCGGACGCGTAAAACTCAGGGTCGGAGCCACGTGGCAGAGATCGTCCCATACCTGCAACTGAACATGCGTGCCAGGATATCTGTGTAAGATTTCACGTTTCGGATCATATTCGTCAAGAGTCTTGTCACTGGGTGGATATGCTGTCGGATTTGCGGCCTTGTGAGCAGTGTAAAACTGCTCGTCCCTTAACCGCTCGCCTCCCCCGACGAGGATCTGCAGTGGAGGTAGACCGCCCAGCGACGGTTGGAGTACCGGAGAGACGAGTGGGTGAGACATGAGGTGATTCGGTGCGTACATTTGGATCTGGTCTTTCACTACGACTGTCTTGCCGTCAATAGGGATTTCGAGCTCCATGCTCTCGTCATCCTCTGAATGCTGACGAGCCCCCGGAGGAGGTTCTGTCCGAGCTGGCCCGCCCTTCTCGACTGTGTATCCCTTCACAGCTGTCTCGTGAGCCCGGGTGTCCTCTTTTGGCACGGCGTCTTCCACGGCGCTTTCGGGGGACTTTTGCTTTGCGTTCTTGAGCGCGCGAATTTCATCCGCGTTTGGAGGGGGCCAGGCTGCGGAGGGCTTATATCGGAAGCCATTCGGTGGGATGTAGTCACCTGGACAGTCCGATAGCACACTTGGGAAAGAATGTGTAAGATCAACCCAGGGCGAGATCAGGATCGCTCCGGCGGGCAAAGGTAGTCCTTGGTCGCGTATGGTGACCAACATCCTGCCACAATTAGTGCATCTCCAGAGCAACAGGTATGGTACTTACGAAAGCACCATGCCACCGCCTGCGGAGTCTCCCGCAAAGATGATCTCTGTCGGATCGTGTTCGTTGAGAAGGAAGAGATAAGCCGCCAGACAGTCCTGTAGGGCACAGGGAAAGGGAAACTGCGGTGCCAGACGATATTCCGCTATTCGTAGGTTTTAGCTTTCATTCTACCTTCTGTGACCTGGCGTAACTCACTACGCAATTAGCATATTGTCAATTAGAGGCGGGGCTGTCGTACCGTGCAAATACTCGTCCCTTGAGCTTTCTAGCATGACGCTGCAATTGATACCGATGGGTCTCCACACTGCCAAAAAAGTAGGCACCGCCGTGGAGATACAGCATGATGCGCTTCCCGCTCGCATGGTTGTTCGAGCGTTCCCTCTCCTGGTAGTCCGACTTCATCTCG